ATTGTTTTAGGGTTTGTTCTCCCGCTCTTCATGACTTCTTCCACTTCTTCCACTATTTCTAATTTTGTTAATGATTCTTTTGTGTTGACATCCCATCGTGATGACCGGACTCGCCCTCGCAAACAGAAAAAAGGATGTCCTAAGTGTGAATATTGTGGCAAGCTAGGTCACAAGATTAACAAGTGTTATACATTACATGGTCGTCCTCCTCAATCTGCTGTAGTTGTTCAGACCAATCTTTCCCCACCTTTATCTGCAGGGGATCTTCCTTCTTCTATTGCATCCGACATGCCTGCTATGTTAAACAAATTTCTCGAATGGTATAAGGATCAACAGTCTTCTAGTTCCACTATATCTGTCACACATACAAATACATATTTTGCTGGTCTGACCCAATCATTTTCTCCTGGTCCTTGGGTTTTTGATTTGGGAGCCACTGATCATATTACTGGTAACAAATCTTTGTTCTCCTCTTTATCCTCTCCTAATCATTTACCTTCGTTACACTAGTCGATGGCTCTAGAGTATCATTTCATGGTGTTGGAACGGTTAAACTTTTTCTTTCTTTAACCATTGATAATGTTCTTTATGTCCCTGGGTCTCCTTTTAACCTTGTTGTCCATCGGTCGTCTAACTCGTTCTCTTGATTGTGTTGTTACTTTTACCAACAATTACGTGTGTTTACGGGACCGGAGTTCGAAACGGGTGATTGGCACAGGATGTGAGTCTCATGGTCTTTATTATCTCCGTCCCTCTACACATGTTAGTACAGTTATTGAGTCTCCCTCTCTTCTTCATGCTCAGTTAGGTCATCCAAGTTACAAAAACTTGTCCCTGCCTTGTCCAACTTATCTAATTTAGTGTGTGAGTCATGTCAATTAGGCAAGTATAGTCGTACTTCCTTTTCTCGTAGTTTCACACGTGGTGTTTCGTCCCCTTTTGCCGTGGTTCATTCTGACATTTGGGGACCTAGCCGCGTTAAGTCTACTTTAGGTTTTCAATACTTTGTTACTTTCATTGATGATTATTCCAGATGCACTTGGTTATTTTTGATGAAAAATCATTCTGAATTATTTCATATCTTTCAAACTTTTTTTAATGAAATTCAAACTCAGTTCGGTGTTTCTATTAGAGTTTTGCGTAGTGATAATGGTCGTGAATATCTTTCTTATTCTTTTAAACAATTCATGGCTTCTCACGGTATTTTGCATCAAACTTCTTGTGCTTATACACCTCAACAAAATGGTGTAGCTGAACGTAAAAATAGACATCTTATTGAAATAACTCGCACACTTTTAATTCATGGAGATGTTCCTCAACATTTTTGGGGTGATGCTCTTCTTACTGCATGTTATCTCATTAATCGCATGCCTTCTTCGGTTTTAGATAATAAAATACCTCATTCCATTTTGTTCCCTCATGAACCACTTCATTCTTTACTCTGAAAGTTTTCGGGTCTACATCTTTTGTTCATAATTTCAGTTCTGATCTTGACAAGCTTTCTCCTAGATCACATAAATGTGTTTTCTTAGGGTTTACAAGATCACAAAAAGGATACAAATGTTTTTCTCCTTCTCTTAACCGTTATTTTGTGTCAAAAGATGTCACATTTGATGAGTTGTCTCTTTATTTTAAAAGTCAATCTTCACCTCTGTCTCCATCTAATCTTGTCAACACTCATAATACATTTAATGTTCTTATTGTTTGTGATCATCTAACTGTGTCTTCTTCACCATTAGTTCCTGCTCCGCAGTTAGCTTCTTCTCCACTGCCTCTTCAGATTTATAGTTCTCGAAACCAATCACAACCACCACCATGTGACTCTACTCAAGTGCCAACTACTCTGTCTCCTCCGGATCTGACACATGAGTCTGACCTTCCCATTGCCCTCCGAAAAGGTATTCGTTCTACATGTAATCCCTCTCCCCATTATATTGCTTTGAGTTATCATCGACTGTAATTACCTTTTTATACATGTCTTTCCTCTATTTCTTCTGTGACCATTCCAAAAACTGTCCGTGAAGCTTTAACCCATCCTGGTTGGCGTCAGGCCATGTTAGATTAACTAAGTGCTCTTCATAATAGTGGAACTTGGGAATTGGTCCCGTTACCGTCTGGGAAATCTGTTGTTGGTTGCAGGTGGGTGTTTGTTATCAAAGTTGGACCTGATGGTACTATTGATCGCCTCAAAGCTCGTCTTGTGGCCAAAGGTTATACTCAAATTTTTGGGTTGGATTATGGAGATACATTTTCCCCTGTGGCAAAGATGGCTTCTGTTCGTTTATTTATCGTCATGACTGCTCTTCAATAATGATCTCTTTATAAACTGGATGTTAAAAATGCTTTCCTCAATGGTGATTTGCAAGAAGAAATATATATGGAGCAACCTCCTGGGTTTGTTGCTCAGGGAGAATCTTCTGGGATGGTATGTCGTCTTCGCAAATCCCTATATGGCCTAAAATAGTCTCCTAGGGCTTGGTTTGGAAAGTTTAGCAAGGTTGTTCAATAATTTGGTATGACTCGGTGTGAATCAGATCATTCTGTCTTTTATCGACACTCAAGTGCTGGATGTGTTTACTTGATAGTAAATGTTAATGACATCGTTCTTACAGGTAGTGACAACCATGACATCTCTCAGTTGAAACAACATCTCTGTCACCATTTTCAGACCAAAGATCTTGGCAAGCTTAGATATTTCTTAGGTATTGAGGTGACACAGTCCAATGATGGTATTGTTATATCTCAGAGGAAGTATGTCATAGATATTTTGGAGGAAACTGGGTTGATGAGTTCAAAGTCTGTTGATACACCCATGAATCCCAATACTAAACTTCTACCAAATCAGGGGGAGCCTATATCTGATCCTGAAGCAGTATAGAAGATTGGTTGGAAAATTGAATTATCTTACAGTTACTCGTCCTGACATTTCCTTTGCAGTCAGTGAGGTAAGTCAATTTCTTAATTCACCATGTGAAGATCATTGGAATGCAGTCATTCATATCTTGAAGTATATTAAAGGATCTCCTGGAAAAGAATTGTTATATGGTTCTAATAACCATACAAGAGTTGTTTGCTACTCAGATGCTGATTAGGCAGGATCTCCTTCGGATAGAAGATCTACATCTGGATATTGTGTCTCCATTGGTGGTAACTTGATCTCATGGAAAAGTAAGAAACAAAGTGTTGTGGCAAGGTCCAGTGTAGAAGCAGAATATAGAGTTATGACCTCAGCTTCCTGTGAACTTGTTTGGCTCAAGCAATTGCTTAGAGAGTTACAATTTGGAGATGTCACTTAAATGACACTTGTGTGTGACAATCAGACTGCTCTTCATATTAGTTTTAATCCTGTCTTTCATGAGAGGACCAAACACATTGAGATTGACTGTCATTTTATTCGAAAAAAGATTATGTCTGGAGATATCAAGACTGAGTTTGTTAACTCAAGTGATCAGTTAGCAGATATTTTTACTAAATCTTTACAGAGTCCTAGAATTGATTATATTTGTAACAAGCTTGACACATACGATTTGTATGCTCCAGCTTGAGGGGGAGTGTTAGATATTGTTTAGATATTATTTGATATTGTTAAGATATTGTTAGATATTGGTAACCACAATATCAAACAATATCTTCTGTTTATTCTATTACTTTCAGTTACTCTTTTAGTTGTACCTCTCTGCTATAAATAGATCACTTTATGTGTGATTTATACACAAGGAAATTAATTCCAAACCCTATTTTCTCTATATTCAACATATATATTAAATTATTATATATTTAATAAAAATTATTTGTATTAATATAATTTAAATTATAAAAATATATTTATTTATTTATTTTTATTTTAATATTTTTAATTAATTATCTTAATATAAATATAAATATGTTAATAATTTTCTAAAATTTTCAATCCAATCCTATATGACCCATTAATTCATTAGTTTAATATAGATTAAATTAGATTAAAAATTATGATATATTTTTAAACATGGATCAAATTATATCATCGTTAATTTTTTACTTCAATCTGGAAAATAAGACCAAACTAAACCGGGATAATATTTTGATTGCTTTATCTACTGGTGTTGTTTTAAGTTTCAGTACTTATTATGGATTTGAGGTGGTTGAATTGAACAACAGCAAAAAATTTGTCAGTTATAAAAAACGACGTCTATTTGTTTTGAGGGTTAAATAAATTTAATAATTAATCATGGGCCATTTCTATTTAAATCCTTATTTATTTACTTTTTTCTGAACGTGAGCATGTAAAAAATTAATTAAGTGAAATAATTCACTTGTTATAGTGATTTAAAAAAAAAAATTATCGAGCCAACGTACCTAATTTACAAAGATTAATACATAAAAATCAGATTTAAAAGTCTCTAACTCATCATAAAAGCAAACAAAGTACACTAAATTAATTAATTTTATCTCAACCATGCATAATGTGTTGAGTTGATTCATAAGATTGTTATAGGAACATAAAGGGAAAGAAAATGTTATGTTGAAAGAAGAGGGGTATAAATATTTCTGATTTATCCAAAGGAAAATGATACTTTGACAACCCAAATCCATACAACTTCGTAAACAACTCTGTTTTAATATTATAATAATAGTTTTATTTTATTTTTATTTTTATTAAATTAGTCTATAGATTATATTAATAAAAGAGAGTTGTTTAAAGAGTTGTATGGTTTCTAGGTGTGAAAATATCACTACTCTTATCCAAATTATAAAATGGTACTAATAACAAGTGATTGCATTTGGGTAGAGACAGATACTTAATCGCTTGAAATCACGTTAACTGAGTCAAACTTCTTTAAGAACGTGAAACATGACACCCTAACTCGCGTTGCTTGCTCGCTGATTTGACTCGTCTCGAGTGTATTTAACTTTACCGAGGGCGAGTGAGGGTTAGCAACGCCATCTCATTCATTTCAATTCAAATAAAAACCTCCTTCTATTAATTTAAAGTGAGACAATACAAGAGTTAAATAATAATGAGGATCCAGTGCGATGTGTGTAACAAAAACCAGGCTTCTTTATTCTGCACCGCCGATGAAGCCGCCCTGTGCGACGCCTGCGACCACCGTGTTCACCACGCCAACAAGCTCGCCTCCAAACACCAACGCTTCTCTCTCACCCACCCCTCTGCTAAGCATTTTCCTATCTGTGATGTTTGCCAGGTACATACATACACACTTCATGATTAAGTATTAATATTATTGTTACATATAATTACATAATTTAATTTTGAGTTTGTCTTGGTTATGTTTGTGGTGTTGAGTTAATGAGTTTGTTTTTGTGTTGTAGGAGAGAAGAGCTTTTGTGTTTTGTCAGCAAGATAGAGCGATTCTGTGCAAAGAGTGTGACGTGTCTATTCATTCTGCCAACGAACTCACCAAGAACCATACCCGCTTTCTTCTCACTGGGATCAAGTTCTCTGCTTCTGCCACGCCTTATTCTTCATCATCATCATCATCACCATCACCATCACCATCACCCAAGAAAAACCCTGTTCTTGATTCTTCACACGCACCTTCCAATTCTCCTACAACACCCTCACCGCCTAAGCCTGGGGGAAACTCGCCAACAAGTCAAGAACCTGCTTTCACTGGTAGCAGCATATCCGAGTACTTGATAAACACTATCCCTGGCATGAAGTTCGAAGATTTCCTCGATTCACATTCCGTTCCCTTTGCTTGCTCCAAGGTTAGTTTATTCCACTTTACAGCTTTCATCAATTAATTAGCAACTAAATTTAGTAACAAAATATATTTTTTTTCCTCTTTATTAATGTTGGGATCATACAAATTTTTAAGGATTGACATATAGAATGTTCGGCCGCTATTTGTAATTTTTGTTGCGGCAACTGATCATGGTTTAACTGGATCTGAAATTAACACGTTGATGACGATGAATTTCAGAATGGTAATGAGATGTTGTCGCTGTTGGGTGAGGGAAACATGGTTTCGTTCTCCCCTGGTGGGATCTGGGTTCCTCAAGCGCCATCTTCTTCTGCTGCATGTTGGGAACAGATGGGTGGGCAGAATGGGTACAGAGAGGGAAGGGAAGGTAGCATTAGATCAGGTTTGGGGGATGATAATTTCATAGTTCCACAGATGAGTCCTCCCAGCAATGTTTCCAAGAGATCCAGGCTTCTATGGTAGAACAGATACAGCTAGTTACAGCTAGCTAGCCACCTCTTGTGGATTTGTGTGACTTGAATTTCACTCTCCCCTTGTTTTATAGTGTTAATTTGTTTGTTTGAAGTTTTGTTTGTTTCTTTATTGTCCGTCTCCTTTCTCATCAAGTGCACTCTGCTAGCTACTCCTCTCTTGGGTTATCCACATATTACTGTATCACTTCCAAATTGTAAATACCAACGGTTTCGAGAGCTCTTGGGTTGAAACTTGAAATTGTTTTTGCTGCATTGCATGTTACAAAACAACCAAAGTTGTAGTTAACAAAAATCAATGCTAATGGTTTTTGCTACATGACTTTCTTTTAAGAGAAATAGACTAGAACAAGTTTATCTCGTGACAAAAATGTCTGTGATCTATCTAATAAAAATAAAAATAAAAATCAAGTGGGAAGAGCTTGTTTACTCAATATTCTGTGAATAACGGCCTGGGGACCTTGGCATGATGATAGGACAAGTGATGAAGTCCTTCAACTTTAATTGCCCTCAATGATGATGTGAAAAAATCAAGGGCTGACTAAACTTATTATGGCCCTTGGCAAAGATAACAAATATCTGTCAAATTCAGTCCAATTAGGAATAAAAATTTGACCATAATTGGGATCCCAAGAATCCCACTTACCACAAATATTCATATGGCAAAAATGAAAGGACAACAGAGTTAGGCGATATCTCTTTTGCTCTTTCAGTCAGGGTTAAGTCTGTTCTGTTCACCTTTTCTTAGCTTTGCCCTGATCCAATTTTGGGGAGTATTACATCAGTAAGTACTTGGGTATTGTTTATGATGACAGACATCAGCAGTCAACGCTTTACACTGCTACCTATTTTTGAAAATAAATTTTAATTTTCAAAATGCATCGTAATAAAGTTGTTCAGACAATTAATAGAGGATAGTGTCAAATTGAGAGAAAAAAGGGTTTGGAGAAGAAGAAAATAGGTGGCACACATAGGTTAGGCAGAGACGTGAATAGAGGTGGGGGCAGGGGAGGGTTAAAGAATGGATGCATGAAAATGGTTTTGTCTTTACGTGGGAACAGCAACTTCCCCAAATGAACCATCCTCGTAATATTTTTTCCATGCCCTTCAAAATTGGCCATTTATTTGAGAAAAAATGGTGGTGTGGGAAAGGTTTGTTTGTTCATTGTTCTGGTATTTTGCCTTGCCTTGGACAATAAACGACATGAGCAGGTAAAGTAGTTTGTAAGACAGGGTTCCGGATGAAAATACAGGATTAGTTAATTCATTAGCGGTGGTCTATTATTGATCATCACGTTGTCAACAATTATTGTTCATGTTTGATTGGCCAAAATAGTATCAAATCTTGTCAAATCTCCTTCTCTAGAAAAATAGTAGCAGTGGCTTCATGAAAGAAAATATGAAACAAATAAACTATTACAAAATTGTACTGTCGTATAGTAATGTCCATTTTTCCTAAAATATAATATATCAGATATCATTTTCAGTATCATGTTAAAATTTGAAAAACAGCAATTGTTACAACTGAACTGAGTCATACACATGAAAATATCTCCTTAAAAAGTGTTGTTTATTAGAGGAAGAAAGCGACATTAAGAAAATGTAGTAAAAAAAAGACAGGAATCGTAGGTGAGTCCTAAGCCATTGGGGAAGGATATAAAAAATGGGGGTAGTGTAGTGGTGTGGTGGTGGCGTCTCTAAATTTCTGTGTTGAAGTTTGCACGTGCGTGGGTGGGTGTGTCCTTGTAAAAACCTGAAACTGGCCAACGGTGAATGTAAGTTATTCAGTTATTATATCTATCTATGTATCTGCAATGAAATGTGTATGGGTTTTGAGTTATACCTGTCAAAGTGGTCACTATAAAAAGTCAAAAGCCCATACTTTGTCTTCCACTCTTTCACATGACATTATAATTCCTGTTCTGTTTGGATGTTCTGGAATTTTTTGTTTTTAATTTTTAGATGTACATTTTAAAACCAAACCTAACCTTTATTATAGTTTTATTTTTACAAAAATAAAAATGATAAAAACTTCTATCGTATTTTGAAATAATATTTTTTAGCATATTAAAAAAAAAAAACAGAACTTCGATAATATCATATTAAATAAAAAAATTCAATACAATTTTTTGTAAGTTAAACTAAAAAAAGCTGTCTTGAAACTTACAAAATGACTAAAAAAATCAAGGAAGGAGAAAATGTGTGTGAAGTATACTTTTCTTTCTATTTGATATCATTTTTAAGTTTTAAATTGATATTAAAAAAGTTAGTTAATATTTTGAATTATATAGAAAGATATTTTTAAGTGTATGAAAAATTTGATGTAATATTAGTTTACAGAAAGAAACTAATTTAAGACGTAAATTTTCTTGTAAAGCGTTATTCGAGGTGAAAAGTAGTGGGTGAAAACTATAACCTCAAAAAAAAAAAAAAAAAAAAAAAGTGAGAAAACTAGTCTTGGAATTTTAGGAGTGGGTGATTGGAAGATTCCTTTTCTTTTTGCATCACAATTTTATATTTACATGCTAACAATTATTGAGATTATTATATTTGTATGCTTATTTAACGGGGTTGAGTCATCGAAAAGTGCACATCACCATTGGATTTGCAAATAAATGTTAGTAATGAAATTTCACAATCTTTTCCTTATTTTTGGTCCCCTCTCTTCAACAGTATTTTGGCACGGTCATTGTAATTAGATTTTGGTTAGGATGAAAGTATTTACTAAAAGAATATTAATCTTTAAATAACTTCAAATTAAAAGTATTGAAAATTCAATAAATCAACTTATAATAAGTATATTAAACTTTGCATTATGTTGTTCCCCAATGTTGCTAGTTTCAATTCTATCAATTATATTTGATATTTTGTCAATGGTCAATTTCATGTACTCGCACATTTACATGAACTCGTGTTGCAACCGTAACATGGATAACTTAATGGTACGAGTTTGATAGACATAAACCAAATTATATTTTGAGTTTTTTATGTAACACCGCAAGCCCACAACATGAACTCTTGTATATTGCATAAGTGAAATAAAAGGCCCTAGAGAAGTAAAACATTCCATATGTTTGTTTAAATAAAGATTAGAATTACATGTAGGAAAGCTTTAGAAACATGTTGTCGAATATATGCAGTGGCAAAGAGTTCATGGTCGTGATCTATGAGTATTCTTCCTAAATTTTATTGAATTTAAAACCTATGTCCTCACTCTAGGTCAGTCACTAGCTACAAGCTTCAAAAAATTCCTTAGACACTTCCAACAGAGAATAATTACAACAGAAAAAATGTGTATATTGATAAGTGATGACAGAAACAATGTATATACTGATAATCGATATAATATGAATCTTGAGAAGTGAAGTGGTAAGAGCATTGATGTCAGGGTTGGAGGCAATGAGCCTTACAGATATGGTGACAATCATAGGAACAAGGCCCTCCACAATGAAGAGGACATTCCAACCTCATTCCCCAGCATCTTGTTCTTCCCATGCATTCTGCATATTCTCCCAACCTATACTCTTCCTCCTCGTACACCCCTTTCTTCTTTCCTTTATATTCATGGCCCTCTCCCTTTCTTTTACCATGCCCTCCACATTTCCACCCACCACCTCCTCCTCCACCTCCACCTCCACCTCCTCCTCCTCCTCCTCCACCTCCACCACCCCCACCTCCCCATCCACCCCCACCTCCACCACCTCCCCATCCACCACCCCATCCCCATCCTCCACCCCCTCCTCCTCCTCCACCCCCTCCACCTCCTCCTCCATAGTACCAACTACTCTTGACGTGGACTTTATCATTATTGTTGAAGGAGGTGTTGGGTTTTTCTTTTACTTCTTCATTTGTCCCTTGACTAGGGAAAGTTGTCGCATTGTTGCCTTGACTATGACTAAGACTAGGGCTAGGACTAGAAGTAGAAGCAGCGTTACCATTTTTCAAATCGTCACATCTAAGCCCAACAGTTGTCGTCAACAGTGCAAGGATTAAACAGAGGGCCCGAGAACGTGTTCTCAAGGTCTCCATCTTCAACTTCACACTCTACACAAAACAAAATTTTGTACTACACACGCCTACCCCTTCAAAGCATAATATAACTTGTATATAAATACAGTAACATATAGTTGTGAAAATTTTGTTACGATGTTGGATCAACAACTCAACAATTTTCTGAAGGTGATGCCTTAGTCCTCACTTTGTCCCCACTTGAACCACTTGCTGATATGTATGTTGTGGTACCTCGGAAGCAGTGCAAACCTGGTTGTCCCCAAACCTCTCCCACTAACGCTGCACACTGGACCCCCTCTGCCTTGTCGCTTTCTAATAATGTACTGCCACCATAATATTATATTTAGGATAATGTGTACTTTTGTTTCAGAAGATAGAATAATTAAAGAAATGTATATATTGTGTGCTTTTGTCATTAATAAATGAATTTCCACGTACCCGTTATTATTAGTTAACCATTTTTTAGTGTTGAAATACTAAAAGTACACCCCAGAAATTTGGCGTATGAGTAGAGAAAGATAAGAAAGATTGTGAGAAAAATAAAGGAGAGGAGAGAAATGACATTATTTATTGTTGGAAGTGATGGAGGAAAAAAGTAATGTATAATAAATTGATAATAATTCATGTAACAGAGACCAACTCGCTCAAATATATTTTATATAACTCGATATGGGTTAGGATAGAGGTTAGATAGTTTATTTATACAAACATTTTAGAAGAATGATTTATATTTAACAGAAAATTTCATGTTTAATCTCTGTCATATGTGAAAAATTGTTGGACCAACAATAATTATAGTAGTTTTTTTTTATCGAGATTGATCTCTTATTTAATGAATTTATCAATCATTATAAGAAAAAAAAAACTTTTTGTATAAAATTTATTAATATTTGTTATTTTAGTCTAAAGATGACGATAGAAAAAGTCGTGGTAGGATATTATGATATCTATTTTCATCCTAGTACCTAACCCTTGTCAACATTATAGTCGCATAAGTATTAACTTTAATCTCCATCTTTATATGCATTTGATACCTTTACTTCAAGTGTGAAAAAATATTAATTGAAAAACTGCGACAACTAGATTAAAAATAATTCTTAAATCCAAATATATAATCATGTAAGGAACATATTCAATATAGCAATGACTAAATGTAATGTTATAATCCTTAAAGTTAATCTAACCTTAAACTTTAATATCAAAGTGAATAGCTATAGTTAGATCCAACCAGACCCTAAATTGGTTGGGTTACACATCCGCACCTGCTTTGTATTCAAAATACACACCTCCCACCATACACGTGAAACCCAATATAAACTCACCGATAAAAATAAATATCACTGGTATATCATAAATGAATGAAATGATGGTAAATCTAAGCTTGAAAAGAACACCATCATAATAAACATTTGGTCCTACTTTGCTTTAAATAAGAAAAAACTGAGGATCTTTAGCCTCAAATGTTCAGGCACAAAAATCTTAATCATTTCATAGTGCTGATTAAATTTATACTTATCATATATTTAAATGTCTGAATTAAAAAAAAAAAAATACTCCATGTTACATGAAGATTAGTAATTAAAGACCATGATAGTCTCCACTACCTAAAAAATAAAAAAGATTTCAGATTATGATACAAGTAATAATCTCTTGAATATTAAAGAATGTAGTGGTTGTTTGTTTTAAGCTCATCCCTGTTTTCCCATAAACTTCCAACACCAAATCTCCTTTTTGACAATAGATTAACTGGGACAGTGTTTCGATCACCCTATAATGTTAACCTTTTGTTGACTGTTTTCTTTTGGCTACTTCTGGCGAGGCATTTTGGTTTTTTAGCATTGAAGCCGAAAAAGGTGGTGGACAATAATGCACATGACACAGTGCTCTCCACTGCTATCATTTACACATATTTGTCCAGTGGTGAAGAAATAGTCACCACCAATCATTTATTGTCCATGTAATTTCCATGTCAAATATGGAAACGGAAACATATTATGCATCTTCCTTTAACCGCACCATACAAAAAAGCACAAACTTTCTCATCCAACGGTACATCTAAAATCATCCGTTTTTTGCGTTTGACCAATTTTTTAATTTAAAAAAGTTAAAATGAAAATAAAGTCTTCAATTTAAAGTTATTTAACAGTTTTATAAATTTATAAATTAATAAATTACTTTTAGGTTAAAATTTATTGAGAAAACATAAAATTCTTAAATCTTGAGAGTTGGAAAAGAAGTGAAAGTAAAAAATTCGTATTAGATCATTCGTAGTTTTTTGGAACAACGATCATTCATACGTAGTTTGTGTACATACAGAATTTATTAAGACAAGACAACTAAGAGGTTGTACTTACAATAATTAATCGTTCTTTTGTAACCTGTGTATAAAGCTTCACTATCTTCGTGACAACTCCTAAAATCAGTTTTTTTAGAAGTTCTTTCCCTTTTTGTTTTCTTTCTTAAAACAACATTTCTCAAAATCTTTTTATAAAATTCTACAGATTGATAATTTAATCCGAGGACTACTAAAGATTTAATAATAACTTACATATAAATTATATAAATAAATATATCCATGTAAATATATAAATATAAATATATAACTATCTAAATATATATATATATATATATATTTAGTATAGTTATATATTTATATGTTGTAATGTGAGTAACGTCTTCGAAAGTGACAATAAGATTGATTATCACGAACGAACGTTAAAACTCATATAAATTTATTAGCTCAAGCAAAAAAATATATCGCTTGAACGAAAATTGGTATTTTTCGTTTGAACGAATAACACATTTCTCAAATTTATTTTATATCATTATATATAAATATATAATTATATAAATATATCAAAATATATAAATATATTTACTCAAATATATATTTATTTGTATATAAATATAATTTATTTATAAATTATTATCAAAAAATTCTAATAATTTAGTAATTAGAATATTAACCTCTAACTCTCTTAAAAATTTAATTTGATCAAAGGTTACAAAGTCTAAATTTACAACGTGGACGTGGAACATTATGTCTAATATTACCTCTATCCGAAACATTATGTCTAATATTTCAGAAAGGAAGTAACAATATTCCATGTGTCTATAACAAATCATGAGAAAAGGAAATAATTAAAATGAAGCCAGTTCAAGGTGTTGGAGTACTATTGGTTGTTGAATCACTCCCGCACAGCACAGTTTCACAGAATAGAGAAAAGGAAAAAGAAAAAACTGAGAACTCCTCTTTATTCACTATGATTGAAAGACATTTACAAAACACTATGACGCTTGTATTTATACCGTTTATTTTAACTACCCTTCACATGGCAGCCTAACAAATGATAGTTACGTTACAGTTCATGACTATAATTTAAATTATACTCATCAGATGGCACTCTTCTTTTCCTATGGATGTTCTTCTCCACTGCTGAAAACAGCACAACAATTGTCCAATTGAAGTTGCTCCAGTATTTTCTGTGTCATCCGAAGGTAGGAAGAGTGGCCTTCAATGAGATGTGTCACATCAACCTGCAAAGCAACAAAAATGGGAAATGGCACCTTCAAGGAATAAATCGTTGCAAAGTAGATAGTTGCATTGCGCATAGAACGGAAAACAGCTTACATTCTCAATGCCATGACCATCAACAGATTGGATTCCAGCTAATCCTTTAGAGAGTAAACTGTGCATTAAAAAAAATTGAAAATAAATTTTCGAGCTTGTGGTCTTTAACGACTATGATTTGTAGCAAGTGAAAAATTGATGGAAACATGCATTTCCTTCCGATTTCATGCTGTGCAGAGGAAGAATGAGTTATACTTTATTTTCCCATTTTTTATGTAACAAACAAGTGTAAAGAAGTTTTTCATTTAAGATTTTCCATCTAATTTCCCTCTGTTTTCAACTCAAGACTTTGAACTAATGACGTGGAGCAATTGGCAGCAATATTTGGGATTCTCCGGTGCATGATGAAATATTATATATACAAAGTAATCAACGATTAATTTTTAAGTTTTTAACAATGATAAAAAAAATTGTCCATACCTAATTATTCAGCGGTGAAATTAGAATAGCAGACTACGATGTTAGTTGATAAATTCTGACCGACCATCTCATTACTGACCATCATATTATAAGAATATATTACCTCCCAGTGAAATACATTAATATCCTTGTTCTAATTTCAGGTAAAATAATTTTTACAATTTATTTTTTCCCTTATCTACCTATCACATTACCCATCCTAACTAACATTTTCTTCTCTTCTATTTATAGAATTGTTATGAAAAATTGTGGTGTGGACTCAAGAATTACTTAAAAATATAACACTTGTATAGATCATATGGATAGCACATACCTGGCTCGAAAAGTTATACCTAACGTCCAGTCATTGGAAGAATAAGCATTCACAAACCTTCCCGCCACCATCTGCATGGTGGCACTATCATTAAGTACTTAAAATAAAAGTTCATGGATGGAGTAATAAGAAAAATTGTACAGAAGTCCTAGGTACCTTTCTAGCTGCTGCCCACTTTTCGTCTGCAATCGAAATGGGTGCTCCAAGCAAAACAACCCTTTCCACTATTCCAGCTGCGTAAGACAGCACAGAGAAGAAAATATTGAGCAACAATATAAATTTCCAATACACATGAAAACCAATAGGTGATGATTCCAGATTACCATTGTCTCCTTTCGAGTCGGCCAAAAATTGGAGACACTTGAAAATAACACGGGCTCCCAACGAAAAACCTACTAGTGTGACAGGCCTGGATCATAAATAGAAAGCTACCAAATATATTGGATTATACAATGAGGCAAGATTATTGTCAACCTTTCCCAATAACATTAGATGGTGTCACCTGTTTCCTTGCAAGCCTGTCACCAGCATTTCAGAAAGCACCTTACCAGCCTTGTCTGATCTGCTCCAACAAAGAGGAAGCAAGGCTAAATATAATGTAAAAAAGTAAGTGGTCATAATAGATGACTCGCAACAAGATACTAAGTACCATCTTTCTGTTCCCTACAAAAACAAATTTTCAAGAGAAACCAGAACTTATAATTGTTTATACTTTCCAGGACGGAGACAAAGTTGAAATAATGGCAACTGAAACACTGATTTCCATATCCCATTAAACAAATTTGAATTCGGATATCATATATGCAATCATTGTTAGCATATAGTTTTTTTTTTAGATTAAATTAATTGATCATATTGGTTAGATAAAAGAGGTGAAATGGATCAGAATCACCATATGCAGATTCATTTATTACGTCCATAACCATAAATAAAATAATATATCCTTAAGATCACGAGTACTTGGGAAGCCTATAACCTGAAATTCAAAACAACCCATCATCTGTTTTTAAAAATAGTCTCAAAGTGTTTGCTGCTTCAAAATAACCATCATAGCTATACTACATGGATACTATGATTCTACAACCAAGAAAACCACTTACCTGTCCACTGCAATCGCCCATTTGCTGTCAATAATATCAAATGTGGTAAGTAAAGTTGATGGCCATGCCAGTGCTGTCAGAAGTGAGCTTAATACTGTCATCATAGCACCTTCTTTCATCAACTGAACCGCAATTCCTACAATATTATTAATCACCATAACCTTAAAAGTTTGAATATGCCAAATCTATTTGATCATTGCTCAAACATATACAGCGGTATCAAAGAAGCTACTTGAAGTAAGCCAGTCCTGGATGGCTGTGCTCAGTGCAATCAAATTTTTAGACTCATATTGGAGCACGTACCTATACAGACAGGCGGTTAGTATAAAATATTGGAAATGCTAAGAATCTAACATTCAAGATGAGTAGGTTTGATTCCGTCATTTCATATATACGTTCAGTAAAATTAATGATTAATTAGAAGAAATTATTTATTGAAGAGGGAAATATAAGTTTTAAGACTAGTGAGCATTTACATATCTTCCATATTAGCGTATGTGGTTTTAAGAAAAAAACCAATTAAAGACGCGGAGTAAGTTTTGGAAAAAAAAAAAACAAGAAACTGATGTAAAAACTTGACCAAATTATCAAATTGTGTGCAAGAAATTTTGGAGTACTTGACTCCTGATTGACCTACCCATAAAAAACATGTATTAATGGTATCTCAAGAAAACCAAAGCCACAAAGGGGAATCCAAAGATAAAACTGCATTTTGACTACAGAAGAGACCACATTTATAGTTGTAGAGGATGTTTTTTCATACCTCTCCATGTTATCATTGAGACCTTCCCAAGGTTCTATGAAATCTTTCTCCTTAAATACAAGCCCAGAAATGGAGATTCTAACTGCTAGAAACTGAAAATTGAAAATGGAGGTTTCCCTTCAAATTTCAACAATCATATTAGGATATTTCACAATTAACTATAATAAGATCCTCCTGGGTTCATCATCAAGTCATGCATAATACAAAGTGTCTCCTAGTGAAGCTACCAAGTGTTCTTGATCCAGCCAAACCCCTGACACTCTAAAAAGTCCAAAGTAATCTGTATAATCTAATGACAGTTTTGAACTTACGCCTTGATTAGTGCCTCCAAGACATTTTAACTCAAATTCCTCTAGACTTCCAATTCTTGTAGCCATCTTACTCCCAGTAAGGCTAGCTCCAGCAGCTGGATTACAAAAGAAGCAAGTCACTTAGCATTAATCCATGTACATTGAAAAATGACAAAGTCCCTTTTGCCACAAATAATATACGTCGTATTTATATTTTTAGTTGTTCAATTGCTGATGAGTGCTTTCACAATGTATATTAACCAAATTTAATCTTCCACACCTCCAAATGATGCAGCAACAGCTACAGATCCAGCAGCAGATCCTGTAGCAGTTGCTGCAGCAGCAAATCCACTAGCTCCGATGGCAGGAACAACACTGCCTAGCGCAGGGGCCAAAGCACCCAGTCCATGAGCAATTGCCGGGGCAGCCAAGCCTGTCAAAGCATTTCAATACTTAAGATAGTGATATTATCTCATACTACTTTTAAGTTAGAGATGCAGTCAGATACATACCACCAGTTATAGCCATTAAGGTTCCTCCAGTTACAGCAGCTGCTCCTATGATACCTCCACGCTTCCATTTATCCCAGCTGGTTTCTGAGCCTACAGATTGTTCTTCCTGGTCACCTTCTTTACTCGCTGAATTTATTATAGAAAAAGCAACCATAGCCTCCATTGCTTCCTGCAAAATATCACGAAGGTAAATTTTCAGCAACAGAGAGCTGCCGGGAAACCAGCAAACCATTGAGACATACAACCATCTCCATCTATACATCATTAAGGAGAGAAAAGTTTTTTCTATGAAGATTCACAGGTCACAAACGTAACATATAAATTATAATACCATATGGTGTTTGAAATGCATGCTAATGTTCCAAGCTCACAGACCATTTCATTCCATTTGACACCGAGCCATACAGAAAGCAACCGCAGAGCCACACGGTGACGAGCATCATAGCCCTGCCTTGACTTTTCGGTGTCTGCTACACAAGCCGAAACCAGTGTGTAAAGAACTGTCACTTTTCTCTGGTAACCAATAAGGGTTGCCTCCTCAAAAGGTTGTTCAAACGTTGCAATTTCTAGTGTATTAGAAGGTTGTTTCTTTAGAGGCAGCAAAGATGAGCTCTCCATAATGTCACACATATCATCTTGGCTCCCAGTTTTCTGCCCACGTGGAGAAAGGACACCGGGAGAAGTATTATTCAAGCTCAAAGCCGAGGCATCAACAGCTTTGGTTAACGCAGCTTCTTTCTCCGATTCTTCAGAAGAGGTTGCACCAGCTTCCTCAGACAGCAATTTCAAGAACTGGAATGAAGCAACCATCATTAATCATTATATATTAATTTTTAAAAAAGAACGAAAATAAGCGATTCATAAAGACATTAATCATTTTGAATCTACAATGTAGAAAAGGGAAATGAAGGGAATGAACAACGTACAGATCCAAGGTGATTTCTGAATTGAGAAGAGGAACAGGCAGTTTCCTTTGTGCCCTGCCAGGAGTCTTCATCTACTTCAAGGAACCTGTCAAAATTTATCATCATATTATTACGAGTTTAATTTTGATATCATTTACACTATTACCTAATCATAATTCCCTAATTCGATCTTTAGTAATTATTACAAAAATCAATTACATTATCATACACATATATGTCTATAATCTATAAAATTGATAAAAATATAATTTTTTACACTCTCCCTCGATTCTATTTAAATTTAATTCTTAAAAGTGGATGCATTCTTAATTTAATTCCAACAAGGACTCGACTGAAATATACTATATGATAAAAGACTAAATTTAAAACACTTCAAGGATTAAAGGTTATAAAACTAAAAAGTGTCACTTGTATGATTAATTTTGCGTCTAGTGGATTGAAAGAAACAGGAAAAAATGAAACTAAAGATAATATATATATATATATATATATATATATATATATATATATATATATATATATATATATTGACATTTAAGAATATATATAATCAATTTAATAAGTTTTACTTTTAAGAATCAAATAGAGATTTGACATTTAGAAATATATTATATATTGAATTATCATCATCAGCGTAACGGCACGTAATCAAGCCAGCATTAATAAAGTTGCTTTTAAATGAATACCTAAAAATTGGGGAGAGCAAATCAGTGTTCTGGCGAAACCAGAGTTCGGGGTCATCTGAAAGAGAAGCAGTTACGGAGTTGGGAGAAGTAGTTTTTGTTGGATGAATCTGAGAGTGGTGTAGAGCGAGAGCAAACAGAGAAGCCGCTGTGTGTCTATGAGTAGGAGACAAGATTGAGGATCTTTCCTCCATCACTTACTTAATTTAAAACCAATGGAAACTAAGACGTTATTTGAACTGAAATTTTTGGAAGCAATAATCGGAATTTATCATCTCCCTACAATACAATTTCAAACACAAAAATGCTTGTTTCGAAAAAAAAGAAAACATGCAGTTTTTTGGTTTTGCTGGGTATGAGATCAAATCAGAATGTAAAACTCACTATTGCGATTTTCTTTACTTTTTCAATCTTCAAAATCGCTTCTGGCTTTCACGGAAGAATGATAGGAAAGAGCTATTTCCTCTCACACTTAGCGGGAACCCATGTTGCTCGCCGTAACTAGAGCACGTCGTCACCACGTGAAGGAAGGGCCCTCCTGTAATTTTTTCAAAATTATTTTTACGGGTGATAGCCTAAATAGAATTTACACTGGTGATAGCCTAAATAGAATTTACACTTTTCTTCTAATAAAAATATACATTTTTTTATAATTTAAAATTGATTCATATATATATATATATATATATATATATATATATATATATATATTATTTTTAATAAATAATGATGGAAGGTTTGTTGGTGGTTAGTTAATAACATCAGGTCAATAATGGTAATTAGTAAAAGCATAAATAACATTAAAATAATATTAGCTAAAAAAACTTAATTATACAATTATTAAATTTAACTATTATACATAGTCAATTATAAGGATACAAATTATTGATGTCTGTTTTTGTCTTTTTTTTTATTAAATTTCATTAATTTAGTAGATAGTTAAATTTAACTTAAAAAAATATAATATTAAAAATTAAATACTATGAGAACTTTTATCTCATTCTTTAAAAAAAATCATGTGATAATAGATGTCCATTAAATTGTTTCTATTATACATTAATCAACCATCAATGTAATAGATAATTTTGATAGATAAAACACAATCAATTTAAGACTGATTGTGAAATGCAAAGACATGTCAATAACATGTATGTTTTTTTGTTAATATGATTAAATTTGTCGTCTTATATATTTCATCAATATGATCATTTAGATTAATTAAAAATGTCTATTTTGAGGAGAAAGAAACCACCTAATATTGATGTAATGATGACTAACAACATTTCAATCGATAATTTACAATTTTGAGTTCTTATGAAAAAAAAAAAAAAACTCGTCTTTGTTCTGTATGTCCAGTGCGAAACACTTGGTAAATTAAAAGTGATTTATATGGATCTATATGGTCATGGCATTACAATCTGAGAAAACAAAAGCTATTGGTGAAAAATTGAAGAGGATATATATATATACATCATATTGATTTATCTTTGTGTGATTGATGTGGAATGGGAGCACCCTTACCTATTCCCCAGTTACCAGGAGAAGGGTTCCAGCTATCATAATCGTCTGCATCATAAAATTCGCCACCTCCTTTCAAATCATTAAGCTGTCGCGGTGCTGAGGATGATGATATCGATGTTGGTGTTGACGATGTAGATATTATTGTTAGAATTAATTTAATTAATTCATTCCATTATGTGACTCATGTGAAATATAATAATGGGCCCAAATGTGATTTAATAAAATATGAGGACCTATTGGTTATTATGTGAAGTTAGAATAAAATAAAGATAAAATAAAATATTAACTTACTAGTAACCAACTTGATGGACGTTGGTTAATTGAATGGAATAAGGGTTCTGTCTCTGGTCATAAAGTTTTTCACTGTAAAACATCAAGAAAGCGAAGCGTGAGAAGAAAAAGAAAGACAAAGAGATAGATTGGGAAAAAGGAGATTGGAGAACGAGAAGATTAAAGAATAGATTTTCATGGATCAAGGTTAGTTCTCTTATTATGATTCATGTATGTTATGTTGTGAAAATCAATAATCTAAAGATCCCGTAGAGTAGTTTTCCATAATGAATTAAGAACGTAGAAAAACTACATAATGTTTTACATGTGGTATCGTAGCCTCGATTATTAGATTTATGATTTTCCTTTTATGAAAATATTTCTCAAATGATGTTTTTCCCAAATTAAGATAAACCCTAATTATGAATTTAGGAATTTCTCTATCAGATTAGTATGAACCCTAATTTATTCCCAATTTTATTTTTCTCAAAATTAAATAAAGGAATAAACCCTAATTATGTTTTCAAGTTCAAATTGAAACCAATTTTATAGTCCCTATGCATGAATGACCCCGTAATCCTTTCTAATTGAAAAGCAAATGACGTGATAGGGTTAGGATGAATCATGTATGAAATTAGTTTCATTGTATGTTATAATTATGATGAGATGTTATAATTATGATGAGATGTTATAATTATGATGGAAGAATGATAAACTGTAAAGTTGATAAACTTTGCACGTAGAGAGCACGTGTTAAACACATATGTTTCATATATTATATTATATTATTTATAATATTATTTTGTATATACATATTGGTGACTCGGTGATCTGCTAAAGCCATTTTCCCCTATATTATTTTGTCCCCATATTATTTGTACATTATTTTGTACGTACATATTTTTTTATGTGGGGGAAGGATAATTAAAGAGTTATTTTTATGTTAAAGTGAGTTGTATAATATACTCATACTCGTAGGTACTGTAAAACTTTGTTATAGGTACTATATTGTTATGGGTACTGTAAAACTTTGTTATGGGTACTATAAAGCTTTGTTATGGGTACTGTAAATTTGTTAAGGTACTCGTAAAGCTTTGTTAAGGTTGTTAATGTACTCGTGAAACTTTGTTAAGGTTGTTAATATACTCGTTTTGTTAATGTACTCGTGAAGCTTTGTTAAGGTTGTTAATATAATGTTTTGTTAATGTACTCGTGAAGCTTTGTTAATGTACCTATAATGTAAACATTGATAAATGAATGAATCTTGTTTTGCAAACTCAATTGTATTGTTTCCCTGTGTTTAAATTACTCATAAAAGTTTTGAATGGATGACAATTTCACTTTTACGTGAAATGCAAATAAAGGTCTTGGATTGAAAATCAATCTTAGGATGAAAATTGAAATTATGAGTTTCAATTTTATTCATGACACATAATATTTTATTATGTGAATAATATACATATTTATTAAAATTAATAAAAAAAATGCTATGAATGTTTAATAGCAATTAAAGATGTTATTTATTTGAAATTAAGCATGATAAATTTTGTTAGTCACCAAAGTGGCCACAATTTTAAGGTTATTTTGATTTCAAATTATTAATGATTTTATTTCAATTACCCATAATATGAACGCTAAAATTATGAATAATGATTTATGGGTTAATTGAAGTTCATTATTATAAGGCATTTCAGGATCACCCAAAGGTTGATTAGTTGTTATTATAATTAATGAACATGAAAGTAGATAATTTTGTGTGCGCCACTAGTTTTATTTATATACCCAAAGGTGTTAGGTGATTCTAGTTGATGCATATTTTAATTATCATTAAAGTTATAAATTGATTAGCGTAATTATGTTTGTGTATTAGTGGATCTCCCAAAGGAGAACATTAGTATGCATAGAATGGTTATTTATGTTTGAATCTGTATTTATATTTAGTTTTTATGACTCAAAGCGTTAATGTTAGACATGTGTTAATTGAAGTATTTGTTTATGTATTTCTACATTCGCTTACTTCGCTCTGCTCCAGTCTTTAATAGATTAAATTCCCTGACCGGAGTGAGAAAGTCCAATTTCACTTAGGTGAGTTGGATTTTAATTTGGCTTTCCAAGTTGAAAAACCGGTTGCTATCATCGATGTCAGTAGTAATGAAAAGAAAACTCATTATAGAGCTTGGGAAAGATCAAACAGACTTAGCCTTATGTTTATGCGAATGAGTGTAGCAAGCAATATTAAGTGTGCTCTTCCCAAAACCGAGGATGCGAAAGAGTTTATGAAATTTGTGGAAGAGCGCTCTCAAACCGCCGACAAATCCCTCGCTGGACATTGATTAGTACGTTGACCACCATGAAGTTTGATGGTTCTCGTAGTATGCATGAACACGTAATCGAAATGACAAATATCGCAGCGAAGACTCAAGTCTCTTTGAATGGCAAGTGGAAGAAACATTTCTTGTGCAGCTCATTTTGAATTCGTTACCGCTCGAGTATGGTCCGTTTCGATGAATTATAACACCATGAAAGACAAATGGAATGTGCATGAATTGCACAAGTATGTTAGTTCAGAGGAGACCGGACTCAAGAACCTAGGAAGTCACTCTATTCATTACGTGAAAAAAATCAAGGAGCTAAAAAGAAAGTTGTTAAGAAACATGGAAATGGTAAAGGACCATTAAAGATTAACGAGTCCTCTACTAACATTCGAAGAAAAATGACAAATGTCATTTCTCAGGGAAGTCTGGACATTTTCGTAAGGACCGCCTAAAGCGTAAAGCTTGGTTCGAAAAGAAAGGTGAGCACAAGTGCTTATGTATGTTTTGAATCAAATTTAACCGAAGTTCCCCATAATACTTGGTGGATTAATTCTGGATGTACGACTCATGTTTCTAATGTAATGCAAGGATTCCTTTCAACCCGAACCATAAACCCAAATGAGAAGTTCGTCTTCATGGGGAATAAAGTCAAGGTTCTAGTGGAAGTCGTCGGACTTATCGCTTAATCCTTGACACTAGATATCACTTAGACCTTATGAATACTTTTTATGTAGCTAGTATCATTAAAAATTTAGTTTATTTGTCTAAGCTTGATGTTGTTGGATACTCTTTTAAGTTTGGGAATGGTTGTTTCAGTTTGTTTAAGCGTACTTCTATGATTTGATATGGTTAGGAGTATGTTAAGTAATTCATGTTTACCTGTATCATTGTGGATGTATGCTTTAAAGACTATCATGTATTTGTTGAACAGGGTTCCTAGTAAAGTTGTTCAAAAGATTTTTGAGTTATGGAAAAGTAGGAAACCTAGTTTGAGACACCTGCTTGTTTGGGGTAGTCAGACAGAAGTAAGAATTTATAATCCGCAAGAAAAGAAACTGGATGCAAGAATAATCAGTGGATATTTCATTGGTTATCCAGAAAAATCAAAGGGGTATATGTTTTACTCGTCCTACTCATAGTACAAGAATTGTTGAAACTGGAAATGCTCTGGCTCATTGAAAATGGTGAAACCAAGTGGGAGTGAAGTTTCACGAAATGTGGAGATTAAGGAAGTTAGAGTACAAGTTCCAATAACTAGTACATCTTCAAGAGTTGTTGTTCCAAATGTTGTAGAATCACACGACAATCAAGAAGAACAACAAATTAATGATCCTCGCGATTAACAATGATCCGATAATAGAACAACCATAGGAAATAGTATTAAGAAGATCTCACGGAGAAAGAAAGTCTCGCTATTTCGAATGATTATGTGGTTTATCTACAAGAGTCGAAAATGACCTAAGTATTAATAATGAACCAGTTTCATTTTCGGATGCCATTAATGGTGATAATTCCGATAAATGGTTAGATGCTATGAAAGATGAGCTTAAATCAATGACATATAATGGTGTATGGGATCTTGTGGAATTGCCGGAAGGATGTAAGAGTGTTGGGTGTAAATGGGTCTTTAAGACTAAGCGTGACTCTCATGGCAATATCGAACGTTACAAGGCCCGACTTGTTGCCAAAGGTTTTACTCGTAAAGACGGCATTGATTATAAGGAAACATTTACACCTGTTTCTAAGAAAGATTCCTTTAGAATTATCATGGCATTAAGTAGCTCATTATGATCTTGAGTTGCATCAAATGGATGTTAAAACCGCTTTTCGAATGGAAATTTAGAGGAGGATGTTTATATGAATCAACCAATGGGGTTTATTGAAGAAGGAAAGGAACATATGGTGTGTAAACTTAAGAAATCAATATATGGACTTAAACAAGCTTCTCGACAATGGTATCTTAAGTTCAATGATACTATTTTGTCCTTTAGATTTAAGGAAAACACTCGTTGATCGATGCATATATCTCGAAGGTTAGTGGGAGTAAGTTTATATTTCGATTCTCGTATGTTGATGATATCTTGCTTGTGACTAATGATCTTGGTCTATTAATTGAGACTAAGAATTTTCTCTCTAACAACTTTGAAATAAAAGATATGAGTGAGACATACTATGTGATAGGAATAGAAATATTCCGTGATAGATCACAATGACTCGTTAGGTTTGTCTCGGAAAGCTTATATTAATAAAGTTTTAGAGAGATTCAGAATGGAGAAGTGTTCAGCATCTCCCGTTCCAATACAGAAAGGAGACAAGTTTAGTCTCATGAAATGTCCAAAGAATGACTTGGAATGGAAACAGATGGAAAATATCCCTTATGCATCTGTTGTTGGGAGTTTGATGTATGCTCAAACATGTACGAGGCCAGATATTAGCTTTGCAATTGGTATGCTTGGTAGATACCAGAGTAATCCTGGACTAGATCATTTGAAGGCTGCAAAGAAAGTTTTAAGATACTTACAAGGAACAAAGAATCACATGCTTACTTATAGGAAAGTTGATCACCTTGAGGTGATTGAATATACAGATTCAGATTTTGCTGGTTGTATGGATACATGAAAGTCTACATTTGGTTATGTGTATCTTTTAGCCGGAGGAGCGATTTCATGGAAAAGTGCGAAGCAGTCTGTCATTGCTGCATCCACCATGGAAGCTGAATTTGTGGTATGCTTTGAGGCCACAGTTCAAACTAATTGGTTGCGGAATTTTATTTCAGGACTTGGAGTAGTCGACAGCATTGCCAAGCCGCTGAAAATTTATTGTGACAATTCCGCAGCAATCTTCTTTTCTAAGAACGACAAGTATTCTAAAGGTGCTAAGCATATAGAATTGAAATACTTTGTCGTTAAAGAAGAAGTTCAGAAATGTTGAGTGTCAATAGAACATACTAGCACTAATCTTATGATTGTTGATCCTTTAACAAAGGGATTATCGCCCAAATTATTTGTTGGCCATATAATGAATGTGGGTATTATGATCACTAGTGAATGTTGAATGTTAATGTTATTATTAATGTTTATGTGACACTCTGAGATCTTTAACGTATAAGTTTCTGAAATTTGTGTTTTCTTCTTTATTTATATGCATGCAAATTATGATGAAGAAAACAAATTATGTTATTATTATTAAAATGATATTATGTTTGAACCCACTATGGACTTCTCATTATAAAGTCATATTAAGGAGAAAGAGATAATATAGTGGTACATGGAAGGGAGCATGTCGATTGAATGACATGTAACCGCCATGACTCTTGTTATAGTTGTATCTTTAATTATGAATGATGATAGAACCAATTTATGTAAGGTCCTTTAATGCGCATTATGACTTAAGTATTAAATCACAAAATCATATGACATCACATGAGTCAAGTGGGAGAATGTTAGAATTAATTTAATTAATTCATTCCATTATGTGACTCATGTGAAATATAATAATGGGCCCAAATGTGATTTAATAAAATATGAGGACCTATTGGTTATTATGTGAAGTTAGAATAAAATAAAGATAAAATAAAATATTAACTTACGGTAACCAACTTGATGGACGTTGGTTAATTGAATGGAATAAGGGTTCTGTCTCTGGTCATAAAGTTTTTCACGGTAAAACATCAAGAAAGCGAAGCGTGAGAAGAAAAAGAAAGACAAAGAGATAGATTGGGAAAAAGGAGATTGGAGAACGAGAAGATTAAAGAATAGATTTTCATGGATCAAGGTTAGTTCTCTTATTATGATTCATGTATGTTATGTTGTGAAAATCAATAATCTAAAGATCCTGTAGAGTAGTTTTCCATAATGAATTAAGAACGTAGAAAAACTACATAATGTTTTATAATTATTGCATACATTCCCATAGTCACAACCACTACTATCTTACATAACTTCAATATTTTTGAGGTCATCATTTTGATTTGAATGATTATTCTGTCTCACACAATTCCTGTCATTTAACTGATAAAGGTAGTTTTTGCGTCATTCTTATATATATATATATATATATATATATATATATATATATATATATATTAATATCTACCTTATTTTTTTTCTAGCCTTAAACTTTCGAAAAAATATCTAATTGAACAACTTCATTTTGCTCACACACTGAATGAATGACATGCCATGCTCATTGTATGTGCTTGGTAGTAATCGTTTATGTCTTCGTGTGTCGATATTATTAGATTTAGTTTTTCTATTATCATAAAAGTAATAAAATATTTAATTTAATTTTATAAAATTAATTTAATAAAATAAAAATATACTCATTTATATATTATAATATTATTATATTTTTAATCAATATAAAATTTTACAATATTATATATATATTATTTTAAAAGTGAAAAAATTGTTTAAAATTAAAAAAAAAAGTTTTTTATATAAATTATTCTAACCAAATTTTAAATAATTTATTAATAAAACCTATAATAAAATATTTAATTTTATTCTTAAATAAATTTTAATAAAAATTTCATTTATATTTCATTAAAAAATTGATGAATTATTATAGAATAAAATAATAAAAGTATTCATACATAAACAATAAAAAAGTAATTATTATTCAATAAATAAAAACATGAAACATATTAACGTATTCAATATACAACTATGGAAAATCTATATTATATACTAACAAGAATATGACTCAAGTACAGACATAAATAAATAGATAAATAAAAACTGAACAAAATATAAATATTTTATTGTCAATACACAAAATTCTAACATAAATGATAATAATAAGATTACTAAAAACTATATATAATTCGGCATAGTCTCACAGAATTAATTTAAAATAACAAAGAAATTTTAATTAGGAAAATTAATTTACAGGACCACTACATCTTAAGTGTGTCAAAAATAAGAGATTTCGTTCAAGATAATTCCAAAATCAAGTGAATTCCGTTTGAAAACAATAACTTATTATAGGCATGGAGCCTGGAGGACGTAAAAGAATATATATATATATATAATTGGGAAAACAGTGGCACGTGTCACAGGTTAGTAGAGGGGGGGAAAAGAAGGGTTGAAAATGAGAAGTGAAGTGAATGAGATTTTGATTGAGGGTTAAAATAGTGAATGAAGTTAAAAATTTTAGCGGGGTTAACGTAACGGTTTTATGTCTGACCGGTGGGTACGGAATCCAGAAGCGAGGAAAGGAACAGAACAGTTTTGCCACCCATTACCTAACCTATTCTGCCGCATCTGGTCCTCCACTCCGTTCTCTCTTTCTCCGGTCGCTTGCCGGTGACAGAGATACAGAGAACGGTAATTCTATTTATTTCTACGTCCACATTTTCGTATTAATCCGACACATTCATTCACGCACCACCAAAACAATCAATCATTGCTTTGCTTCCCCGACGTTTTATCCTTCCGTGTTTCCGTCTTTCTATCTGTAGGGGTTGAGACAGGCGTTGTAGGAACAATGTGGCCGATGAAAACGGAAAACTTTGTTGCCATGCGTGTACGGCGAATAATACACTGAGTGTCGTCGTTTCGGCGTGCATAGTGCTTTTCGCGTGAATGGTGAGGATTAGAGATACAACGTCCATGGCGGACGCCAGAGAGCAGCAGGGGAACACTGCTCTTTCACATGCAGAGGAAGAGAGAATCTTCGTTTCGATCAGAGTAAGGCCTTTGAACGAGAGAGAAAGAGCGCGGCACGATATGTCCGACTGGGAATGCGTTTCTGGCAACACCATCAAATTCAAGAACAGCGGCCATGCAGAACAGCGACCACTGTCAATGGATACCTACACCTTTGGTGAGAAACATGAAGATGCCCTGTCTATGGGTAGTCTATACTAATATCATTAGGGTTGACTTGACTCCAAATACTTTATGGATTTTTTAATTTTTTTTCATTATATCACAGTTTTCCAGGTGTTTGTAATTTATATCACAATATTCCTATTTAATTTAATGGTGTATTGGAAACAGATAGGGTGTTTGGGGACAGGTGCGATACAAGGCAGGTTTATGAACAAGGGATTAAGGACGTTGCCCTTTCAGTAGTTCGGGGTGTCAACTGTGAGTAATCTTTTTCTTGTTTGATGATTCCAGATTGTGTAATGTGTTTATTGCTGTGATGGCTGTTTATTTTTTTTTATTTTTTTTTGAGGGGTTTCTGATTGATGAAACATAATCTCAGCTAGCATTTTCGCATACGGGCAGACAAGCAGTGGAAAGACGCACACGATGACTGGCATTACTGAATACGCAGTAAGGGACATATATGAATACATAGAGAAGGTATATAGCGATTCAAATCCTGGTTTCATCTTGTTGGGGAAGACCCAACTGACATTTTGCAATGAAATGGATAACGATGTTCTTTGATTTTTGCCGAAAGGTTGACATTTCTTGTTGCGTTTCAGCATAAAGACAGAGAATTTGTTGTTAAGTTCTCCGCCATGGAGATCTACAATGAAGCTGTTAGAGATCTTCTCAATGCAGCTGCTACTTCACTAAGAATTCTAGATGATCCAGAGGTAAATTTAGTGGTCTAATTTCCTTGCTCTGTTAAAGAGTTCCTTGCTTAGTTTTTTTGAATGGTTGAGAATATATGCACCTCAAACAGAAAGGGACTGTTGTGGAGAAACTCACAGAAGAGACACTGGCGGAAAGGAGACAGTTACAACAACTCCTTTCAATATGTGCAGGTATTGGGTGCTCTATTACTGTATTGTTTTACGATTTACTGCTTTATATGCTTTAGGCTGCTATACTTCAAGCCATAATCTGCGTGTGTTCACGCAGCTGCAAGGACAACGGAAGAGACAGCGATGAATGAAGCTAGCTCCAGATCTCACCAAATTCTTCGATTGGTATTTCTTTTATCATTAAATTGCTTGGTAGTTGAGATAATTCTTCTCATTTTAATCCTAAGTTTTCTCAAAATGATGATTCCTGCAGACAGTTGAAAGTAATCCTTGTGATTATGCAGACGCCGCAAGATCTGGAGCTCTCTTCGCCAGTGTGGTATGATCTTTGCCGCTTATTATCCTATATAATAAGAGTGTCTCTCCGTGTTAATTGACTCGTAGATGAAATGAACAAGAGTTGGTTTCTTTGTACAGAATTTTGTTGACCTAGCAGGAAGTGAACGTGCTTCTCAAGCACTGTCAGCTGGCACAAGATTGAGAGAAGGTAGCCACATAAATCGCAGTTTACTGAGCCTAGGAACTGTCATTCGGAAACTAAGGTAGAACTTACTCCCGATTACTAAGTTAAAATTTGAGTAATTATACCTAGTTACTTTAATAAATTAGGTGATATACGTGATAGGTGCTACATGGATACCACCCATACTTATGGACGCTTGGAAAGAAAAAAAGTGAGAAAAGAGTATATATGATTGATGATGCAGCCTGATAATAACGAAGATATAGAGAAATTTAATAGATTAAAGAGTGTCTAAGATATTCACATATAATTACCCTTATTTTATATTTAGTTGCTTCTTATTCTCTATAAGTTTGTTCCCCCTGCAATGACATGATCTGGATATAGTTCATTGAAACTGCTGCTTAAATGTTCTGCTTGTGGGTGGGTGTAGTAGTTTTGGTAGATTAGGAAATCTGAAGAGCCAGAAAATGAGCGGTGTACTAAACTTAGATTTTCAGAAAATTATTAATAACTCAAATTAGTTGTAGAAAATATTTATTCAAATAAACGAAAAATTAAAGTAACTTGCATTTATAATCACGAAGAACTAAATAATTAGTTCTTATATAAAAATCGAAGTGTCCCCGTTATTAGCTAAATCAAAATATCTGGTGAGGACTAATGATTGACAAAAAGTTTTATTATCTTTTTGTGAATTTCAGCTTTGAATCTTTTAAACGAAAAAAAAAATACTCATCTGTTACTTTTAGATACTAAAATTGTCCAACTAAAATATATTGAGTGAAGCTAAACTTGATCAGCAAATCACTTGACTCGACCTCCCAGAAAAATTATAAGTGGTCGATAATGTTTTCATGACACTAATGCTCCATTTGAAGATCCTGGTTCCCAGTTTGTTTGAGCCATGCAAATCCAATTCAAATTTAAACTTGTATAAATTTAAGAAATTAGAACTAGCAAATATAATTTTGAGAAGTTTAATCAAAGCATGGTCCATATAAGTTGGCTTTTGACTAATTGGTCGAGAGTAACAATAATTCTTTAATTTGGAGCTGGAGCAAGTGCGTCACTTCCTGCAGCTTCTTCTCAAAATATTTGTGTTTGATTGAAAGTTCTCTTATTTCTCTTATTTTATAGTTTCTTCTATTTTCTTCTTAACCTTGTTACTTCATCAGTTACATGTTTTAGAATAAAATCATATATGCTAAACCACAATTTTTGAATGCAGCAAGGGAAGAAATGAACACGTACCTTACAGAGACTCAAAGCTTACTCGCATTCTGCAGAACTCGTTAGGTGGTAATGCCAGAACAGCGATCATTTGTACCATTAGTCCTGCAAGGAGCCAGAGTGAACAATCAAGAAATACTCTGCTTTTTGCTGGTTGCGCAAAACAGGTGACTACCAATGCTCGGGTCAATCAAGTGATGTCAGACAAGGTTTTGGTAAAACAACTGCAAAAGGAATTGGCTAGACTGGAGAATGAATTGAAGAGCTTCACTCCAAATACCGCCTTACTCAAGGAGAGAGAACTCCAGATTCAAAAGGTGAGGACAGATTCAATAATTTGAGTTCTTTTGTTTTATTATGTTGGTTTGTTTGGTTACGGGTCATTTATATCATGTTAAATATATTTAGTTTTTTTTTTTAATTTTAAAGAAGTGTTTTTTAACTCTTCTAATTTAATATTATTTTTTTTATTCTTTAAAACTTGAAAAAATTATTTTATTTTTTCGTGCACACGTCTTGTACCCAAACACGTAATTATAATTAATACCTTTAAAAGATATTTATTACATATGTTAACAATATTTTTTAAAAAGTAAGTTTTAATTTAAATTACAAATTAATTTAAATTTACCAAAATTAATTTATATAGAGGGGTTCAAAATATATTAAAGTGAATTATATTTTCCAATAATATATATTAGCATAGAGTGTTTAGCAAGTTGTTGAATGTTACATTTTTTATTCATCTAAAAACTGAACTAGGTTAAAGATTATTTATTCCCTGGCTTTGCTAGGACAGAAAAAAAAAAGCCTGGACGCTTCATCATGGTATACCATTTCTTTCAGCTGTGAACCATGCGGGTAGTTTCATCTTAAAATATGGATTATTTTGCATTGTATGTAGTTGATTTCCTCGGTACGATTCGTTGAGCTTACGAGTCACGGAACAGAAGTGGGAGCCATCTTTAATACCCTTGTTCCTTAATGATGCCAAGAAATTATAATATTTTAACGAAATAACATAAAAGGCATGAGTATACAATATCCCTAGATTTTGTGAAGTGCGAGCGCAATTTGACCTGATATTAGAATTACCGTATTACAAATGGAAGGGTTTGAAATTGTGATCAGTGTAAATGAAAAGATGAATGAGGTTAGTATCTGTCAGTCATTTTTTTCATTTGTTGGCAAAAGACATTTAACAATCAAAGGGGGCTTATTTACAAATAAAATATAAAAAGGAGACATTTGGTGTATAGCATTTTATTTTTAATAAAATTATTCAGTTTGTCCTTTTTTTCTATCCTAATTCGAAAGCATGCAGATGGAGAAAGAGATCAAAGAATTGACCCGGGAGCGTGATCTTTTTCAATCTCGAGCTCAAAATATGCTCAAGTCTGATGGGAAAGATAGAATTCCAAGAGTAGGCAAAGATTCAGCCTCAGAATCGTCAGGTCTTGCTAATGATCTCTTTCGCAGGACAGACAGCGCATCTGAGACTCTTGAAATAACAACATCCAGTTTACATCATACTGGGAATTCTGAAGACGACTTTCTTTTGGATGGCAATTCTCCCACGTTTGCTGGGCCTGATCCATTTCATGGTTGGGAGGAGATGGCCAGCATAGCTGAACCTGACTGCGAGGAGGTTCCATGTATCGAAATAAAAGAAGTGGAAACAAACCACAAAACAGATGTTAAACCATCCCCAGAGAATGAGCAGAGTGAGTTAAATACTTTTGATAATACCAGCGACCTTACTATGGACCTATTAAAGAAATCCAATGGGGCTTCTGAAACCGATCCACATGTTTTGGATGCCATGTCTCCTCCTCAAATAGATAAGGTGGATCAAGAAACTTCTAAAAATCCTCAGATAAGTAATTTGGAGCAGGAACCTGCCACACCTCCTCAACTTGAGGAGCCGGCACAGGTATCAGTCACATTACCAACTGAGATCGAAAGGAAAAACTCTACTAGTTCGGCTTGCTCTGAGGACAAGCTACCCGAATCGAAGTTACAAACTAGAAAAAGAATGTCTTCCAGAAAAAATTCTTCAAGTGACGATATAAATGTTTCAATTGAAGACGTAGAATCCCTTTGGGATTCTGATGCGGAGGATAATGCTAGCGTCCTCAATTTTGTCGTAGGAATGAACGAAAGGGCTAAGCAAAAGCCATTGGACGAGGACATGGATGATCTTATGGTAAGCACCATAGGGGACCCACTACTACACCTACTCAAATGCTGTCCATTTTTTTTTGTCATACCACTTATTCATAAGAACCATGATATGTTAAAATTTTTCACTTAGAACAACTATTTCACGGAAATTTACCTTTTTTACAAAAAATTTCAAAATCTGCAAAAATAATATTAAAATATTATTTTTTATATTTTATGTTCCAGCATAGAAAATTACTTTGAAATCTTAAAATGACCATTAAAACGAAAGTTGTATAAGATATTTTTATCTTACGTGACACTGAAAAGATCTATTAGAAAAACAATATAAGATTTTATAACAAGATTTATCATTAAAAATGTGTTGTTAATTGTCCTTATTTATCAGGTACGCGCAAGGACATCTGGAATCAATAAACGTGGGAACAAAGTAAAAGGAATCGGTTACAATGGAGCTCATGGGGATTATAATTTTGAGAGGCAGCTGAGAGATACAATTCAACTTTGGGATGCATGTAATATACCGTTGGTACATAGATCCTATTTTTATCTTCTCATCAAAGGTGAAATTTCGGATGCTGTGTACCTTGATGTAGAGCTCAGACGTTTGTCCTTCCTTAAGGACACGTTTTTTAGCGCAACAAACAGTACAGGACATGGTTCGGATGTCACACCTAATTCAAGGTAAAATCTTTTTGTTTCATGAATAGAGTTTAAACATGCAATTCACATTTACATTTGCAAATATGATCAATTATATTGATTGCTTCTCATTGTGACTGGGCAGTCACTGCATGTGTCATATTTTTGTTAATGACATAGCATATGTGTTCTCTCTCTAGTCTTCACATTTTTGGAGCGGAAATTTACAATTGTTTTCTTTCTTACTGGAACGTTTAAAGGACTAGTTAGATCATAGATGTTGAGAAATGAATTCGAAGAAAATAGATCACATTGCGGACTCACAATATAGTAAAACTGAATATTATCACACGCTTCGTGTAAGTGCTAGAGTTAAAAGAGATAATCTCATGAGAATCTGTATCCGTAGTACTAAACAAATTTCTTATATATTATCATATATTGTCACCCTTTTTTCCCCTTTCACTGAACAGTTTGATGTCACTGAATCGTGAGAGGAAAATGCTAAGCAAGCAAGTGCATAAGAAGTTTTCGTGGAAGGAAAGAAACGAACTTTACCTGAAGTGGGATGTTGATTTGAAATCTAAGCACAGAAGTGTACAGTTGGCATGGCGCTTATGGACGAATACTAAGGACTTGAACCACGTAAGGGAAAGTGCAGCACTTGTTGCGAAGCTGGTTGGTTTCATAAACGCGGCTGAGGCCCCAAAGAAAATATTTGGATTTGGCTTCTTATCCCGTCGTACGACCTAGAAATCTGATACTTGCAAGAACACAGCGTCTACTGTTTTGTAGAGCTTGCATAGCCTACTTCTTATCACCCTCACTTTCTGAAGCAGGCTGGTTTTTCTTGCCTCTTCCCATTGACATCTGAGAAAACCCTAAGGAAACAAAACAAAGATAATCTGTGTAAGACTGAGACAAGTGATATGATGGAAAGAGGTAAAAGAATATTGTTGTGTAAATTTATATTTTTTGTAGTTACATAAATTGTTATTTAATGTTAAGGTATAAAAATTGAATAATTCTAAAAATATTATAAAATATTTCTATTAATCTTCATATTTCCCAGATAATTTAAAGTACTGAATATTTTTCAAAATTGTAAGACATAATGTATTAACTTGTGTTTAATACTCCCTTAATAAAGATTTGTTAGATTTACTAATATATATATATATATATATATATATATATATATATATATATATATATATATATATATATATATATATATATAATTTGTTGCATCAAGCAATCTAGCATTTCCAAGATGAGTTTATGTAAATAAACGAGAATAGATGAATCAAAAGATACATTTTTGTTTTTGAATTATCTCTCAATATATAGCGTGTTACCACTGTACTGTATATTTTGCTCCCTGACTGGGATTTGGAATATTAATAAACAGTATGACAAAAAAAAATCTTCTTTTACGTTTCCATCTGTATGAAATACTTTTTTTTCTTGTTGATTATTATTTTTCTAACAGATAATTTAAAGCATAATATAAGTTATTCAAGTTTTGTTACATTTTGGTATATATATATATATATATATATATATATATATATATATATATATATATGTATGTATGTATGTATGTATGTATGTGTATCATTTTACTATAAATTCATTATGTTTTTTAATAAAATAAGAAATTCAATCGTGTAACTTTATATCTTTAAAAATGTGTTTAATATTTTTCTACATAAATATGTTCACTATTGTGTATGTTTAGAATGTTTTGAAAAATACAATTTAAAAAAAATGTTTATAAATCTATTAATATTTTATCGCATGCATATCAAGTGGTTCTGTCTCTGATGCCAAACAAATTGAACAAAATCCCATAGAAACAAAGGAAAAAAGAAAAATTAAAAAAAGAAAAGAAAAACACAGAAAAAAGGAGAGTGACATGAGCCATCACTATTGGAGCCTGAAATCAGCCTTTTGTCGAGTCCCACGACCTTTTTCCATTATTGTATGTCATGCACTCCACCTCGGTTCTCCGTTGCCACCAATGACCAACACAAGTATGTTTTAGAACATCAAGTATTTAATTATAATTATTAATTACAAATTTAAAAGATTAAAATTTCATTTATGTTAATCTCAAATTAAACTAGACCCCTAGATTCAAACATCATCTTAGCTATGCTATAGGTTCGTATTTTTCAATCTCAACTTTTAGTTTCGTTAACCACCACATCTTACAACTATCATCTATTTGTTTCTTGAATCAAACAATTTGTACCCGTCTATGAGATAATAACCAATTGGTACATTTGTTCTCTTTTATTGTCAACTTTTCTTCTTAATTGATCTACCATATGCTTGAAACAAAATATCCAAAAAATTTGAAATGATCAACTACTTAACTTCCTCAAATTTCTTATCTTATTGCTTCTTAGTAGGTTCTTTGTTCAGAACATATACAACTGTAGAGTTAACTGATAAATATTTTCATTTATTTTGAAATATTTTTAGAACATATACTCCTTTAAAGGAAATAATTTTCAAAATTTTAAGACACAATGTATGTACTTTCCCCAATTTTTTTATTTATTTTATAACTCTGTTGTGTTGAATTACAATTAATAAAAATAGTTGGCCACTAATTCATTCAAATAGTATACACGATTAAAGTGGATAATATTGAAGTTAACTTTTAAATATTAACATAAACTACAAAAGATGATTTAAAATTAACATCAAATTAGGATTTTTTTTTTCTCATTTAGAGCTATATAAAAAGAAAACAAAAACGGTATTTATGGCTAATCCATCTTAACATTGGTGATGTAGGTGAAGCCACAAAACCCACTAATAATTATATGACACACCCATATATAACAACTACACCAATTAAAATGGATGGATTGATTACAATGCTGGCTAACCTCCACACCCATTTATCATAAGAATTTCACACAACCAACACCCTGTCTAGGGTGGGTGGACCGTGCGAGGCCCCTCGTTTAAAATTACTTGTATTTGCACCATTTTTTCTTCTTAACGTGTTCAAAAAGACAACTATATTTTGTGATTGATTTAAGGACTTTTTACTCGTTACGAGAATGAGATATTATAAATTAATTTAACTAAATTTTTTATTTATGTCATTATTTTAACATGATCAATCGAGTAATTACCATATTTAAATGCAATAACATGTATAACAATATTAAATTAATCCAATTTGTTAACACATTATATTAATTTTATTATTATGTATAATTAAAGTGTAAAATAAAATAAATATGTAACTACTATATAAATATAATATCACATTGAATAAAAATATTGTTTTATTATACCTAAACATCTATATCATATATTTTATGATACATTAATTTTTGTTTATTATATATATATATATATATATATATATATATATATATTCTTAATAAATTTTAAAAAATAAATTTTCTTTTCTATTCTCTCTTTTTATTTATCTTAATTTACTTATTTTTGTAAATTACTTATAAAAGAATTATAAAAAAATTTAAACACTTATTGGAAAATTACTTTAAATAATTAATATTTTATTTAAATGTTCCAATAAATCATTCTCATTCGATATTGCTATTAGGTTTTTATACATTTGTGATTGTGTCTTGAAACTACTTGACGTAATTGATGAGATATAGGCTCAAATAATGTATTTAAGCTAGATTTATAGAATATGATCCTTAAATATTGATTGGGTTGGTGAATAAATAGATAGCCAAATGTTAGCTTCAATATGTCAATGATCAACTCAGAATAGGAAGAATGCAATTTTGTAAAACGCAAAGTTTGTGTTTTTATTGATAAGAGGGACGTGGTCCAAACATTATTGAATGCAAACATACATCTGGTCATGGAATTGTAACGACTGCACGATGAATGGTGTTTCATTTGTCTGCGTGACTTCTTCTTCTTTTATTTCGAGGACGCAATAATAAACTCATTCCACCAACTTTTTCTTTTTATGGTGTAGGAATTATTTATAATTAAAATTTGAACTGCACAAACTGTCATAATTTAGAAACCATTTTCAGCATTAAATGATTAAACATCAGAGAACAAATGTAATCTTAAAAATGTTGAATGGTTTGTTAGAATTGGAAACTATGCACTTACGAGTTGATTTTAAAACTGCGTGTGATGTTGTACTTTTTAATTACCTAACCCTCAGAGAGTCGTAGCAGGAGTGATTTACAGTTATATATAATTGCAGAAGAAAATTACCAAAAAAAGACTTTTCATATATACTTCATAATTTGCCCCTACTTGAGAAAGTGATGTTCATCATTTCTCCTGAAATGAATGAAGAATGGATAATGTAGTATATATATGCATATGCTGCTCTTTCTTTTCTCTTTTTCTTCTCCCTCCTTTTGTTTATACACGGCCCCAGATAACAGCATTATTAAAAAGTTTGCTTCATGTTCTTTCAAGAGTTTCATATTATGAGGGGGCAAAAGGTTCTTGTCTTGTGAACTGAACATGATTCTACGCAACTACTCGGAACTATTAAAAGGAGGAAGACCATAAAAAAATATTTTAATGTACTTTTTTTGTTTAATAGATATATAAGTTTTAGGTAAGTTTTCACAGTCAGAATTTGAGATTATAACTAAATCTTATATAAATTTCACTCATTAAGTTTTATACTGATTTATATACGTTCCATTCAACAGAAAATAAATTTGGCTTTAATTTTTACAAAATCAATTTAAAAATCACACCATCAATGATTCTTCATTGATGGAAAATGTCATTAAACTCCTATTTCATTAGTTTTTTTTTTAATTTTGAAAAACAATTATTAGTGTTTGCTCAAAAAATAAGTTTTACAAGGTTTTTAAAATATAAAGTGTCAAAAGAAGAAACATTATATGAAAAAAAGGAAAAGAAGAAGAATTTGGTTAAGAAGTTAATTCTAGCAACTTTTTACTATTTTCATTTATTATATTAAATGATAAGATTCAAGGATACGTCGCATAAGAACTTTTAATTTATTTATTTTTAGGCTCAAAACTATTGGCATGGAAGCTAATAATAAAACCCTTAAAAATCAGGAATATATATGTTTCTTCACACGAACCGTTGGCACGGAGGGTAATAAATAAAACCTTAAATAAGTCATTCATCAGTTCGTGATATTGAATGTTAATTCATATATTCACGAAACCATTTCTTCTCCAGTACTCTCCACTACCATTCATAATATTAAATGTTAATTCATATATTCACGAAACATCACAACAACTTATGTATACGATTCACCTGTTTCCAAGACAATTATTTAGAATAAATTAGTATGTTTTAGTTTATTTATTTACAACATTTCCTTGAATGAGTAAAAGCAATGAGGGTGAGGTGCAGAAAAACAGGTAAGAAATAGTAACATGGTAAGAGTGTGGACCAGAGCAGGGGTCTGAAGATTCCAAAAGCACCACACCCTTTCCCCCAAAACCCTTCAAATCAAACCTTTTGGGAAATAAAATGGCAATAGCGACCAAAACCATAACATAACTTAACCCCTAGCATTTGCGGGGAACATGGCTAGCTAACAAACGCTCCTCTCATTTCTCAAACTCCCAAGTACACTCACAGCACTACACAACACTCAAAAACAAACAAATGCTGTGAACCACTGAAGCTTAAAACTTACTTCAATCTCTCACCATCACCACCACCACCATCACCAATAATAATAACAACAACAACATCAACGTCTATCTTCTTTCCCCTCCCTCCAACAAACACACTCAAATGGCAACAACGGTTATATTCTTCAGCCTCACACTCGTCGCTTTCTTCGCTACCTTAACCACAACCACCACCACTGCCCAAAACACCACTGGGTTAGAGATTCAAGCCTTAATCGCTTTCAAGCGCAGCCTCCATGACCCTCTCGGTTCCCTCGACGGTTGGGACCCTTCTACGCCCTCCGCACCCTGCGACTGGCGCGGCATTCTCTGCCACAACAATCGAGTTCATCACCTCCGTCTTCCCCGTCTCCAACTCGCCGGGCAACTCGCTCCTTCCCTCTCCAATCTCCTTCAACTCCGCAAACTCAGCCTCCATTCCAACAATCTCAACTCCTCCATCCCTTCCTCCCTCTCCCAATGCCTCTTCCTCCGCGCCGTTTACCTCCACAACAACCGCCTCTCCGGCCACCTTCCTCCGCCGCTCCTCAACCTTACCAACCTCCAAATCCTTAACCTCGCCCGCAACCTCTTCACTGGAAAAATCCCTGGCCACCTCTCCTTCTCCCTTCGCTTCCTTGACCTCTCCGACAACGCCTTCTCCGGAGACATTCCGTCCAACTTCTCCTCCAAATCTCAGCTCCAGCTCATCAACCTCTCCTACAACGGCTTCACCGGAGGAATACCTGCCTCCGTCGGAATGCTGCAGAATCTTCAGTATTTATGGTTGGACTCCAACCACATTCACGGAACCCTACCTTCGGCTATTGCAAACTGTACCTCTCTGGTGCACCTCACCGCAGACGATAACGCACTCACCGGACTTTTTCCTCCCACCCTGGGAACCATGCAGAAGCTTCAAGTGCTTTCGATTTCGCGGAACCAGCTTTCCGGTTCGGTCCCCGCCTCCGTGTTTTGCAATGCGCACCTGCGAAGCGTGACGCTCGGGTTCAATTCCTTCACGGGCTTGTCCGCGCCGCAAAGTGGGAAATGCGACAGCGTTTTGGAGGTTTTGGATGTTAAAGAGAATCGCATTGTTCACGCGCGATTTCCCTCGTGGTTGACCCGCGCGACGACGTCGTTGAAGGCTCTTGACCTTTCTGGAAACTTCTTTACCGGTTTTCTGCCGGTTGATATTGGGAACTTTTTAGCGTTGGAAGAGTTCAGAGTGGCGAATAATTTGTTATCCGGTGGAGTTCCGCGTAGCATTGTGAACTGCAGGTTGTTAGAGGTTCTTAATCTTGAGGGAAACCGGTTCTCTGGGTTGATTCCTGGGTTTCTCGGGGAAATGAGAAACCTGAAGGAGTTGTCTCTTGCGGGTAACCTTTTTACCGGTTCGGTTCCTTCTAGTTTTGGAACGCTTTCTGCACTCGAGACGCTTAATTTAAGCGACAATAAGTTAACCGGTGTGGTGCCTAAGGAGATCATGACACTGGGGAACTTGAGTGAATTGAATCTCAGCAATAACAAGTTTTCGGGTCAAGTTTGGTCTAACATTGGGGACATGATGGGTTTGCAGGTTCTTAATTTGAGTCAGTGTGGGTTTTCGGGAAGGGTTCCTGCTTCGTTGGGGAATTTAATGAGACTAACGGTGCTGGATTTGAGCAAGCAGAACCTCTCGGGTGAGTTGCCCCTTGAGGTTTTTGGGTTACCTAGTCTGCAAGTTGTGGCACTTCAAGAGAACCGTTTGAGTGGTAATGTTCCTGAGGGGTTCAGCAGCATAGTTAGTCTGCGATATCTTAATCTCAGCTCTAATGAATACGTGGGTGACATTCCAATAACTTACGGATTCCTTAGTTCTTTAGCGGTTCTCTCACTGTCTCACAATGGTGTTTCTGGTGAAATACCCCCCGAGATTAGTGGTTGTTCGCAGCTCGAAGTATTGCAGTTGCAGTCAAATTTTCTAGAGAGTAACATTCCTGGTGACATCTCTCGGCTCGCTCGTTTAAAGGAGCTTAATTTGGGGCACAATAGATTGAAAGGTGATATCCCAGATGAGATATCAGAGTGTTCTGCTTTGAGTTCACTCTTGTTGGGTGGTAATCACTTCACGGGTCACATTCCAGGTTCCTTGTCAAAACTGTCAAATTTGACCGTGTTGAACCTTTCTTCAAATCATTTGAAAGGGGAAATTCCGGTTGAATTGTCAAGCATTTCTGGTTTGAAGTATTTAAATGTGTCTAGTAATAATCTTGAGGGTCAGATTCCATACGGGCTTGGTGCCAGATTCAATGTCCCTTCCGCGTTTGCAATGAACCAAGGTCTATGCGGGAAGCCCTTGCAAAGAGAATGTGCAAAGGTGAGAAGGAGAAAGAAGAGAAGGCTAATAATGTTGATTGGCGTGGCAGTGGCTGGTTTATGCCTTTTGGCGTTGTGTTGTTGTGGGTATGTTTACAGCCTCTTGAGGTGGCGGAAGAAGCTTAGAGAAGGGGTGACCGGTGAGAAGAAACGGAGCCCTTCAACAAGTGCAGGTAGTAGAGGGAGTGGGGAAAACGGAGGACCAAAGCTAGTGATGTTCAACAACAAGATCACGTACGCGGAGACATTGGAAGCAACGAGAAACTTTGACGAAGAGAACGTCTTAAGCAGGGGAAGATATGGCCTCGTGTTCAAAGCCTCCTTCCAAGATGGAATGGTTCTCTCCATTCGTCGCTTCGTTGATGGGTTCTTAGACGAGGTTAACTTCCGCAAGGAAGCAGAATCACTGGGCAAAGTGAAGCATCGAAACTTAACAGTTCTGCGTGGCTACTATGCAGGCCCACCTGATGTGCGACTTCTTGTGTACGATTACATGCCCAATGGAAACCTTGGTACACTGCTTCAAGAGGCGTCTCAGCAAGATGGCCATGTGCTGAATTGGCCAATGCGTCACCTCATTGCACTAGGAATTGCGCGAGGGCTAGCTTTCTTGCACTCGGTGCCCATAGTTCATGGTGATGTGAAGCCTCAAAATGTTCTTTTTGATGCAGATTTTGAAGCCCATTTGTCTGAATTTGGGTTGGAGCGGTTGACAGTCGCAGTTCCCGCAGAAGCATCCTCGTCGTCCACTCCAGTTGGGTCCTTGGGGTATGTTTCACCAGAAGCTGTATCGAGTGGGGTGGCTACAAAGGAGGGTGATGTTTACAGCTTTGGGATAGTGTTGTTGGAGATACTAACGGGGAAGAAACCGGTGATGTTCACGGAAGATGAGGACATAGTGAAATGGGTGAAAAAGCAGTTACAAAGGGGCCAAATATCGGAGTTGTTGGAGCCAGGGTTGCTTGAGCTAGACCCAGAGTCATCGGAATGGGAAGAGTTCTTGTTGGGTGTGAAAGTGGGTCTCCTGTGCACAGCAACGGATCCTCTTGATCGACCATCTATGTCTGACGTTGCTTTCATGCTCCAAGGTTGCCGGGTCGGACCGGAAATCCCATCATCAGCTGATCCCACAACACTGCCTTCTCCTGCTTGATCACAAAAAAAAATCTATTTAGGTTGATTTTTTATCGTCGATTTTTGCTTTAAATCTGTATAAAAATTGTATTATGATTTTGCTGAATTGAATTAAATTATCCATCTATTTGGTGGAGTATATTCATCATCTTTTATACATGGTGGCGTTATTATTACTTTTGGCTGCGCCAAAAGAAGAATTCGTGTGGCTTTGAAGAACGGCGCCGTTTTAATGTGGTCAATTACGTTTACTACGAAATTGCTTTTGCCAGAGAACGACCAAATGATTCCCGCCAAAAGGAGGAGAGCCATGATGGCAATCGCACGAAGCCATGTGCCCACGTGTCGAGTCAGGAACATCCAGGAAAGTTACCGTTATGATTACATGGAGCTTGCAATGGATCAGACAAAAGCATCGAAAAAGGGGAATAAGACGTTTGAATATGTCGGGTTTCAGATTTTTCCTCTCATTCCATAATAACTTATAAATTTAATAATGATGGAAAAGGCTACTGCAACATGATTCCTAATACAGGATCCGAATAGAAAACGAAAAGGATGGTGAATGAAAAGGTTTTACATAAAAAGGCAACAACTTACGTGCAACGATTTATTTCAGTGTTTTAAATGTATTGCGATATATATATTCATCAAATGAAATAACAAGTTTGGGATCAAAATGTCAAAAATTATAAATTTATTATTATTATTAAAAAAACGTTTGTCAAGATATTATATTTTGTGTCCAAATTTTTTAAAATATTATCCAAAATATTAGATAAAATTATAATTTTTTAAAAAATTAATTAGAAATAATTAGAAAGAATTCTATAATATGAAGGGTAAAAATTAATAGGATACATTGTACAGTGCTATTAAAATGAGTATTGATTGAAAAGGATTATAAACATAACTTTTCAATATATTAATGCACGGGTACCCGTAGCACTTTTGTAATTGTGCATTTGATTTGCGACACCTCGGATACCACTGTTTCAGAAGCGAATCCCACACCCTAACCACCTAGTGCTTCAAGTGTTACTGGGACCGAATAGTTTCGTTTTCAAGCTGCTCTCCCCATGGCGATTTCATTGCCTTCCGTTGAATAGAATTATTTTCCTCAGTGACAAAATGTTTTAGATATTTAATTTAATCATGTTTAGTACGATAAGGATTATTTCCACTTTTATTTATATATATATATATATATATATATATATATATCAAATTTTTTAAATAAGACGATTTTTAATTTTATAAAATTGAATATAATAAAATATATATTTAATTATATATTATAATATTATCATTTTTTTCTTTTCTAGAAGATTTCAATGGAGGGGATTTTTCGTCAAAATCATGAGTTAAAGGGTTTAAATAGTAACATGTACTAATGAATCGACCATAATGGATTTTTTCGGATAATATGTTACTGTAACATGTACTAATACTTTTTAAAAATAGTTATATAGTTTATTGCATATGTGTGAGTACGTTATTATCTCTTTATATAAAGCTGAGATATACTGACAACTGTTTTTCAACCAGACAATTATTTTACACTTCTATTTAATAATATAATAATCATCATCTTTAGTAATAATTTTAATTTTAATTTTAATTTTTTTTAATTATTATAATATTAAAATTAGTTTTTATTGTCAAAATAAATGTTTTCATATATATCAGCAGAGAACAAATGCAAACAAAAGACTAACATTTGATGATGATAACAGCCAAGTGGGGGTCCATTGGTACAAATTTAACGTCACTATCCTTTTATATCTTAGTGAAAAATAGACTAAATGCCACATTCGATTTTAAGAGGGGTTACAAGCAGAAAGTAGACCTTAGTGCGTCGTCGCACCCTCACTAATTTTGTAAAGCAATTATATATTGGCACGAAAAATGTGATGAATGTGAGGGTCCCAGAAAAAGGAATCCAACTTCAGGGCTGACAGTTGAATTGGAAAAGACGGTAAGATGTTATGTTGTTTCTTTGTGTGATAAAATAAATACGATGGAATAAGGTTGTATTGCATGGCCGAAAGGAAAACAAAAACCTGCGTTAACGTTGAATTTATTTGAAGACGTAAGAAAGGAAGATGGCCCACCACCTAAAACCCGGAATTTAAAAGCTCATGCACTTCTGCACTTGCCAGACTCAGTCACTCGCGTATTTAGTGCAGTAAACGATGGGTCCTTTTCAAATTTCCTTCAATGACAGGAGTGATGCGGGTGAACAGTACAGGGAAAGCATGTGACTGTCATTGTTTTTGACATTTTCTTTTTAATGTAAATGAACTCAACTATCATCTGAGCAGGAGTTTAAAATACATTCATTCACTCATCGGTTAAAACAAGTGGCTCAGTGGCCGCTTAAACTTGTACAGTTGTTTTCGCACCTAAAAGCAGTGCTACAGTACCAATTCTTTTTTGATCGGGACATTTCTTCACGGAGACCAGAGTTGAAGAAAAGCCGAAACAGGGTAAAATGTTGGAACTTATTAACCACAAAGTGAGCAGCTACCGAGAATAGTGACTGTGAGGGTCCTCCAACAAATCACAAGATATTTTATTCTCTTGTGAAAAGTATTTGCTCATACACAATAAAACCTAAATTTGCCTTCACAGCATAGATCTATCGCATGGGCAAGAGGCTTTGAATAGAACAAATTTCAGTTGAGAATATTCTACTACAAATCGTTTTTTGTTGACATTCCAATTAGAAACTAGTCTCGCTAAATTTCACTTCAGTGAAACAACACATATTCATATACATAGACAGGATTGGCACTAAATTAAGACCTAACCTATGCAAAGGTTAACCCTTCAGGAAGAGGTTCATTGTCTGGATCAGGTGAAAAAAATCTTCGACAAGCATAAAAAATAGCTGAATGGAAGGCAGTTGGGTTGTCAATGAACGCAAAGTGCCCGGCCTGCAACAAGTAATTATTATTTATAGTTAGAATAATATAAACAAGGATAAACATGTTTTCATTCCTTTTGCAAATGGGGTGATATTCATTTTAATCTATCTAAAAAAAAAATCATCTCATTTTAATCGTTCATAAAATATCTCATTATTCTTCACGAAAATTCGTCTCTTTCTTTATTGGCTTTATGAATGGCACATTTTTATAAAATAATAAAAATAGTATGATTATCGAAGGATTAAAAGTGAACATTCCATTAATTGAAAGGATGAAAACCATATGCCCGATAAAAATAGTATCATTAAAAAACAACTTTGTATTAGGGGAAATGGGAAAAATATACCCGAGGAATCCTGATGATTTCGCATGGAACGTTCATATGCTTACGAGCTTCTTGGGCACCTTGATAATTCATCCAGTCTTGGAAACCATACATGAAAGTAGTGGGCACCTTCCACTCAGAGGCACTACAAGACCAAAGCCATGGAGGATTAAACAGGCTTTAACTTTTTCCACCCATTAATTTCTTGACCCGCCTCCATGTATATTTTACATTTGGAAAGCCCATTCCAAAATGAGTAGGAGGTTACCCGATAAAACGTAGCATACAAAATCTAGAATAGTGATGCATCAAGTAAACGAGTAATCCCCATTTGAAAATACATGGAGGTATAGCCTTAAAAACAAATCAACTAAAGTTCACATATGGCATTGACCACAGAAATTAGGATATTCACCTAATATGCAAACCAAAGAAAGTTTAAGTTTGCCTCATGCTCACTCTATGAGTAAGTTTTTTAGGTATGTTATAGTAAATAGACACCTAGAAATTTATTTTCATTCTAATTCATCTTTAAAATTAATACTCACAAATAGTTCTCTATATCAAATTGGAGTTAAATTATTTATGTTGAATGTCAATCATTCATTAATCATTTTCTTATTATTTTTGTTACAATCCATTTTTTCATATATTGAAAGTAATAAAAACAATAAAAAAAGTCCATTTGATTTGTTTAATTCTAAAAGATGCAGATTGGAATTGCAGTGGTGGTTCTAACTTTTGCCTAGGTTTTGGAATGTAACATACAAGAATTCAAGGAAGCACTTAAATCACATCAATATATTGGATGCATAACATTTAAAGTGTGGCACTGATATCCAGCAAAATACATGAACTCATTTTTCTTAATTGATTAGCTGGTGGAGTATACATTGCAGAGGTGTACACACCTTCCTCCCAATTTCGTTATATTTCTATTTTGCAGGGACTTGGTCACACTTTTGCTTGTCTTTTTAATATAATTAATTTAGCTTCCCAAAACCAATTTGAGATGAAATTAAAATGGAAGATGGGTTATGCGCAAAAACAAATAATATTTAAGGAGAGTAATTGGGACAAATGCAGGAATTTATATGCAAAGAGAGCGAAGTTTAAGGATTATTTACAAAGGAACTAAAGTCTATTTGCAAAAAAAAAAAAAAAAAAAGTTTTAAAGAAGCTGTTTTTTTTTTTTTTTCATAATGTCTGTTAAGGTTCCAACATAAAACCAATTGGCAATATGTGGAGTAGCCTAACATGTATTTAAACCATACCAAATGATATGAGGTAGGCGATGTGGGACTTTCAACACACCCCCTCCAACGAAGCCCGCCGGACCAGGCAAATGGTACTTTTGACCCAACTAAAGGGCAACTTTTGGCCCATGACAATAACCGGAAAGATGTTAGGCTTTGGCTCTGATACCATGTTAAGGTTCCAACATAAAACCAATTGGCAATATGTGGAGTAGCCTAACATGTATTTAAACCATACCAAATGATATGAGGTAGGCGATGTGGGACTTTCAACAATGTCTATCAGGAGTTCCACCCATCCTTCAAAGAAACCGACTAAAAGATGTCTCAAGCAGTGCTTTTAAACCAAACTGGTGTTTTTCAACTAAAAGCTTATTTCAAAAAACAGCGTAATCTATTTGCTGATTTTGTATTATAAATAAAAAGTATTCTAATTATGACTTGTGATTGTTGAACTCCAACTTACAGAAGACACTACAGCAAAAATTTGAATCCATCTTTGTTCGATAACAAACTAACTACTATCAGTAGAAGACAAACTGCAATTTAACAATAAGAAGAGAACAGTCACCAAACCTGAGCAGAAGGGGCATTCTAGCAAATGCTCCAAATGAAAAAATATATTTTAAGCACAGCTCCCCGCTAGCTTTGGCCGCCAATGTGTGGTAAACATAATCTTTAATGGACAGAAAGACTAAAATTAGAATGTTCTACTACATCTGCACCATATTTCAACGAGTTATCATTCAATACCTGTCAGCAATGTTGATTCCTCTTCCGTCAGTATTTCACCAGTGGAATGTGTACCAAACCTAGCACTTGTATACCTGCGGACTATGTTGGGACCCCAAGGACCTAAACCTCTGCCAAATATATATAAGAAAAATATTAAACAAAACAACATAATAAAATCAACTGTTCAACTTGGGCAGACTAATGGTATGATAAATGATGATTCCATTGCAATGTTTTATTGTATGGAATATCCATTCTCATGTTTGTTGACAAAAACACAGCATAAGCCTCATTCCATGTAAATATGAACCGCCATTCCTCCCCAAAGAGATAGGATTCGTGATTCAATGCTTCAAGCAATGAGATTTAATTTCCTTTTCTAACATATCCTCATTTATTTTCAAGAATGACTAAATTGACACCCTTTATTAAAGTTTATCTTTCTTAAAATCTCATTTTATTTTTAACCTCGTGTATTAAATTAAGTTTAAATACCTATAACAATGCTGTGGGAATGCAATTCTGAGGCAAAGTTTTATCAAGAAAATGTCATTAAAAATGAATGAAGTACTTTATCCAAAACATGTGCATATAATCAATCATTTTCCTACAAAATAATATTTTCCGGCAACATGATTAAATATTGAATTTGAACACTATAGAGTGCAATAGTTGATTCTCTTTCCTACTAAGTGTATTTATGTCATTTGGATATTCAATACTGCATTTATTCCATGTATCAGATAGTTGAATTGCTTGGAATGTTATTCAATTTAAATAACGAACAAATTGTATACCAGGAATGATCATTTTAACTAATTTCTGTAGCTTTATCATTTCTTGTACCAATTGACATAAATAAACCAAAAGGCAAAAACAATTGACATAAATCATATCGCTTGATTTATAGATTTGGATGTTAGATGTGGTATAAAGAGAATACAAATTTCTTCCTTCAAGTAGAATCAACCCCTTGTCACCACAAGCTTTTTTCAGATAACAGGAATGGGACAAAGTAGTTTTACCTGACAAGTTTTTGAGGTGTAAAATTAGATTCCCATAGATGGTTCAGAACTGCTCCCTTCCATGTTGCTCGAAACCTTGTAACCCACTCAGACTTTGTATCTGATTCTGATGAAAATCCAGCAGATCCAACCAGAATCAAGTGTTGTACATACTCAGGGTGCTATGTTAAAACGATTACAATAGACATCAGAACAATCAACAGAAGAAAATGAAAAAGTCACAGTACTTAGCATTTGAGTGTTGTGCAATGTGGGAAGAGATTCACCTTGAGCGCATATTTAGCAGCAACATAACCACCAAAAGAATGTCCAAGTAGTATAAAATTGCTCAAGTTTTTGGCTTTTCTCCATTCCTCAAAAGAATCAATGAACCATGCTTCAGTTTCTGCATCATCAACAACCAATTATGATTTCTAGGTAGTTGCCACAGTAACGACTTCCAAGTTGAGCAACGTTTCACCATTCCAATTTCAACTCAATAGTATCATTGCATTCTGAACTAACCTTCAGTGCTTTTGCAAGTAAAATCAGGTCTGCTTGATCCACCCCATCTGCAAAATATGTTTTGAGATTGGGAGTACGAAAAAACACGATCATATAAGCACATAGCAAATTAAAACGCCAAAGTTTGGCACTGCTTCTCCCCTAAATCACCATAATAAACAAAAGAAGCCCATGTTGAAGGGACAACAGATCTATTAAAGGGCTCAAATAAGATTGCCTGCTAAGCACCTATCTTTTTAAGATACATCCAATCCACTTATCGTTTCCCAGAACAAAATGGAGCACAAGACCCAAAAAGCAGTTTGAGACAACAATAATAAAATGCAGTGACATTAGGATGAAGAAAAGCATAACTCACTCACCCAAGTTGATCAACAGCAATGACTCTAAATCGAGAGGCAAGCACATCAAAATTGCGAAAAAAGAACCCCTGGGAAGCAGCATAACCATGAATCATCACAAGCGTAGGAGAATCAGGTTTACTGTCAAATGTAACGGTGTTAATAAACCGCGGCTCGTTACTGGCTGAACGGAACCATCTCACTTTGGAGCCAGGAGGACCAGAACCTATGTTAACATGCTCTTGAACATAACCGGTTCTGCCAAGCCCAAACAATCAAACCATCTTAAACTAATAGCCGAACGCACATAAAAACCTCAGAGTCCAAATAAACGATTTTCAATTTTAACAAAACGAATCTCCGATATTTTATGGGCGAATAAATTTGAAATTTAGGGTTTAGAATCAGTTACTTGACGACGGAGAGAAGGCGCTTCTCGGAAGCGATGATATGATCGATGGAAGTGGGAATCCAACGAGGCCAGAACCTTCTCGACGTCGTGGACGTCAATCCGACGTCGTTTTTGCTCATCGTTTCCGACATTATTATGAATCTCCGGCGCTATTGCTTCAAAATTGATTAGACGATGAATTTATGAACGGTGGTAGATTGCGGCGCACGCAATACCAAATCAAGAAGCTTAAAAAATCAATAGTAGATTGGACACGGAATCTATCAATTGAATTAGAATCTTACTCGTCTATTGATATTATTATCACAAAAATAATTGAATGGAAAGAGTTTGAATGCAAATTGAGAAGGCAGGGGAGTGAGACAATTTATTTATTGGAATAAAGAAATACAATAACAAATTATGGAAACAAATTACAGGAGTAACCGCTTACGCGAGCAGTGACGCGCAACCATGATCATGATGGATGCTTCAAACACGAACACGGTATCCTTGACTCCAGATCAATGCAATGCAGATGTCTCTCTGCAAAGTCAACATAAAACTTTATCTAAGGATGCTATAAATAATCTTATTTTTAAAATATTGTCACTGTTGTAGTTAAGATTTTGTAGTCTAAATTTTAGCAAATTACAAAATACAAAGTTATATTAATTTTACTTTTAAATTTTTCCATAATTAATTTATTCTAAATTCCTGTTTTCTCGTATTAGCCCTCTAGCATATTTTCGATATTTTAATAAATATTTGTCCTATAATCTAATTAAAATTTTTACTTGATAAACCTTCTTTATAGAAATAGATTTAAGTATTATTGTACATGAAAAAGAATATAAGAAAATCTAAAGTCACCGCATAAACAGGTAGAATAATTCTAATATGCAAAATAGATAGTTTTACTGTTTATTTACCAAAACACGTTTTTTTTTCCTAGTTTTTATTTTTGCGGGATTGGATTCAGTGGTTTTAAACCGGGAACTGCAGTGTGCAGTTGAGACATTTTGAGCCATTCGATTTTGTAAATGCTTCAGATTTTGCCACATGTCCTTCGATATTTTTTAATAACAATTACTTCCATTGTATCAGGACCAAGTTACGTCGCCTGTATCTTCTCTCATTCACGCTGTCATCAAGCTTTTGTATTGGGTTTTTGCAGTTTGCAAACTCTACCATCACCATTGAGTTGCCTGTAAATTGGTATGGTAAAATTCCAAATTCTCTGCTAAGTTTTTTCTATTTCCCCTTTTCAATCAACTCTATGTTGCAGTAACTGTTGTTATGAAAGGAAAACTTATCGTTGCATAATTATGTCTTAGGGTTCACCTTCTTAATCATTTTGATGCAAGGCACATGATTATATTTTTCTAGTAAATAGTTGTAGACTGGTAGACTTGTTCCCATCGCTGGGATGGGGAATAGGCATATGCATGTTTTGTGGTTTTTTCTTTTTTTCAATTTGTTTTATTTGCAGCAAGCTAAGAGTGAGACAGCTGCTGCCTTTGACACTGATATATGGGATTTATTTGGAGAAGTACATTATAACCAAGTCAAATCGAGTTCCAAATAATGTTATCTTTTTTTGCTTGTTAAAATCTATAATTTTACTGGACTCTGAGAATAGAAAACCTTGACTGCATTTTATCAGGAAAAACTTGGATATGTTGAAAACACTCACATTGGGATTATATGAGAACTTGAACTTCTTCATTTGAGCAATGTAATAATTTATTGCTTTATGTTTACATCAAGTACAAATGTCTGGTTGTCTTGGTGATTGTTTTGTCGGTATGGAGGTGTTCAGGGAGAAGAGAAGTGCTTTGACTGTTGCATATGTTTAAAGGACATGTGGCAAAATCTGAAGCATGTGTAAAATCAAATGGTCCACAATTTCTCAACTGCACGGTGCAGTTCTTGGGTTAAAGACACTGGACCCAGTCCCTATTTTTACACAGATGTCCCCATATCATCCTAACCTCTATTGCGTGATATACTCACCTCTTTTCCCAAACTCTCCCTTTAACGCTCTGAAAGTTTCCCAACCCTTCCACTGTGCAGTGGATTCGAATTTGAGAAACTTTCCCTACCCTTGCAATTGTCTTGTGATGCGGATTTGAATTTTCTGGGCATCAATAGGGAAGAGCAAATTTGGTTTTCCAGAAATTAGAGGTGGGGAGGAAGCTTCAAGTGCTAATTTTGATCTTATATATATATATATATATATATATATATATATATATATATATATATATATATATATATATTTTGTTGAGCGTGTTTGGCTGGTTTAAAACAATATATATATATTCCTTATTTGAAATGGTTTTCTGCTTACGATTGCCCTTGTCCTTGATGTTATTATTGTGTTAAATTTGGTTGGTAAATGGTAATAGCTGCATATTTTGTGTGATGCTTTAATTAAAGCTATTGTACTGTTGCAAATTCACGTTTTGAAAACTGTTTTTTTGTTTGCAATCTTGTTGGTTGACATGAGTTGTTAATATCTGATTGAAGGATTAGAATATATATATATATATATATATATATATATATATATATATATATATATATATATATATATATATATATATATATATATATATATATATATATATATATATATATATATATATATATATATATATATATATAGGTGAATGCTTTATTATTCTCGTTCCAAGTTGTTTTGATGTCAAATTTAATTCATTTCAGCTCTAGGTCTATGAAAAATTAATTGATTGTAGAATTTAAATTTATTATATTATATCAATATGCTAATCTCCATCTAATTCTTGTCTTGTTTTGTTTTATTTTTGGTCAAAGGGTTTCTGAATGTTCATCTCCCAAATAGAATAATAGAGAAAAATCAATCCAGCTTTTGTTGATTATATCTATTTTGAACTTGTTAATGTGTTGCGTACTTCTAACTTGTACTAGCGAATTAGAACTTTGGAAGTGAAATGTTTTGAATTTATGTGACGAGCTTAAACATTAGGTGACAGCCAAGGAAATTAAAATTTTTTACTTGACAAGTTAATATAGGTGAGCTTGAAAACCTAATTTCTTAGTTCAGTTCAAGCTGACCATAAAGAAGAACAAAGCATGAGCAGAAGACCACCTCCTGATCCCGTGGCAGTGCTACGCGGCCATCGAGCTTCGGTCACAGATATTTCTTTTCATCCCTTTGAGCCAATATTATTTTCCAGGTATTCGTTGCAAATGCTTCTGTCATTTTGGTTTCATGGGCATTATTCTGTTACACATTTTTTGCCTGGGTATGGTAGATTGGTATCCAATAGCCATTAAGCATTTCATTGGCTGCTAGTTATTTTTACAAGAGGTTTTCACACTAATGGTAAAATGTATGTTCAATAAATGTTTAGACTACTTGCCTGGATACCATACCCATCATTGTGCCATTAAAACTCCCTGTTTTAGTTGGTTGCATATGCAATTAGTTTCATTTAATAATCAGTCACATCATCCCCTTCTTGCTTGCAGTTCTGCTGATGGTGAGGTGCGGATTTGGGATACCCTTCAGCATCGAACAGTGTCATCTGCATGGTGCTTTGTTCTACAATTTTTAGCCCTTTATATTTGGGAAGAATATCATTGATTTTCGGAAGTTATGATCCATGATACAAATTAATTGGATACTGCAGGTTACATAGTGCTGCTCATGGTATTGTTGCTGTTGCCTGTGGTTCTTCCCTCGGAACCAATAAATTTGTCAGGTGCATCCTTTCTACCTGATCTCCCCTCATTCTATTTAGTATCATAGTATGTTTTTGCTTTATTGATATTCATTATTCTGTATGCATGTAGCCAGGGTAGGGATGGAACTGTAAAAGTTTGGGAATTTGATGATGCTGGTTTGTCAAGGTGTTGTTCTTCTTCAACTTCTACAAATGTCTCATCCTTTTTTAGTTTTGGAAGGATAGCTTGTGTTTTGTGATACAAGCTACGGAGATGTTCTTTGTTATCACCTTACCTTCTGTTTTTCTGCACATCCTAACACAGGATCCCATCACTTACAATTAAGACAAACAATTACCACTTTTGTAAGTTTTCCATGGTGAAGAATGATTCTGTTTGGTCAAAACAAGGGAAAGAATCGGAAGATTGCTACAGAACAGAGGCTGAAGGAATGTCTGATAAAGAAATTATGGAGGATAAAAGAGATGAGGCTAACACCAATCAAAGTTGTTCTAAAAGCTTTGGAGGTTCTAGTCTAACTTTAATGTTTATGAAGTTTTAAAACTTCTGACAGTTTTAACATTCTGAATTTGAAATGCCTTCTATTTTTTAAAATATTAAAATAACAAGGCATCAATGAACTGTGATGATTTCAATACTAACTTAAAAATAAAGGATTAGGGCATCTTGTGTTGGCATTATGGTCTTAGAATGATAGAATTTTTATTATCTAACTAGTGTTATGTTTATATTATGCAACCCCTAGCATTAGCATGCATATGCTGGCTATTTCTGTAAAATTTTTTGTGAATGACTTGTACATTTGAAAATTTTAGGAAAAAACTGTATTTGAGCTTGCAAGAAGCAATGTGAACCCTATTGATTACTGCCGCAGTTATTGTTTTTCTTATACACATCAAATAATATGGTTTGACATCATCATAGAATTTTCAGACTTAGGTTATGTATGATTCAACTTATTTTTTAGAAATAATTGCTTATTTTATTGACTTCAAGAAAAAAAAATTTCCAAATTAATCCCAACCAAAGATGCATGTAGTACACTTTTGCTTGTGTGGATGATAATAGATATTTGAAATTTATTAAATTCCATTATCTATTTTTTTTAATAGGGGTCTTCTCTGAGTCCTTTAACCTTATATTTGGAGGCTGCAAATGCTTTTGCACTTTCAGAGATTCTGCCATGATAGACTGAATTCCTCATCTTACAGTTCTATATTGTTTCCTTTTATATTCTTAAAATATTTACACTCTATATTACTGAAAGATACTTTAATATTATACAAGTGAGATTGATGAAATCTCATTGTATTTACAGAAAATACATATAATGAAGGCCTACAATATGTGGCTTTGTCAGGGGAGAATTCTTCAGAGGTAGGCATACCTTTCTAATGTATAACTTGTTTTTTTTTTAAATATATTTCATATCAAATTATGAAGAAACCCCTACGCTCGTCAATTCTATCATTTTTAAAGGTTGAAATTTGGGATCTCAAGTCTGCTCAAAAAATTGTACAACTTCCTTCAACCAATCCTAGTACCTCTTCAAGTGCTTGCAACAGAGGTAGAGACTTGTTTCTGATCTATATTGAGATTCAACTTCTACCATCAATTTTTTAAATTCTCATTTCTCAGGTTACATGGTGCTATCATGATGCTTACATTTTTTTTTTAACATATCAACATCCTCCTGATTTTTTTCTTTTTAAGATTATGTTGCTTATAATTTATAAAAATACCTTCACTGAATCAATACACCTGTTTCTTGTCAGGGATGTGCATGGCACTTCAATTGTTTTTATCATCTGAATCACAAGGATTCTTAAGTGTCTTGGCTGGGTATAGTCTCAATCCTCTTTTCTCCCACCCTCCCTCTGACAGACTTGTAAGTGTATTATGTTGACCATATCAAGTGAAAGGGGTGTCTCATTATGAGTAAGGAGAGAAAATCTTGACCATTGGATCGAGTATGTATGGTATTGGGTTAGAACATAAGGTCTCTGAGTTTTCTTTTTAAGTGGTCATGTGAACCAAGTTCTAATATTGACATCCTCCCAAGATTGAATGGTCAATATTTATTCCTTTAAGAGATCAAAAGGAACTTCCCTTTGATCTATTAGAGGGTATACAAGTGAGGGCACTTATTATGAAAAGTGAGATGAACCAATGTTGACCATTCAATATCATGTGGATGACCAATATTACAAGCTATTTAGGGGTCACATAATCACTATAAACTTCATGTTCTCCTGACTGTTCATGTTTATCCAATGATCAAGATTTGCTCCTCTAACTTGTAATTAAAAAAAAAAACTCACTCGGTGTGGTTCATTAATGTGTTTTAGAGTATTAAAAATATGTTTCAATTATCTTATATTTCGCAATTTAAGTTATTAGTTTTATTTTTGCTGGACACTTCACCATGGTACAAGGTTGAGATAACTGCGTCAATGTTGGATGGGTTCGTGTTTTGTGCAAATGACACAAGAAACTAAATATCATGTGCAAAGGAAAATATTATTCAATAATAAAACCTATAAAACTCAGTTAATACCCCAAGCATTTTGCTCCACTGCCAAAGTTTACATCCGAAACACTAGCAAAGAACCACACTACACTTCTCCTCTCCCACCTGGCCTAATAACTAACTGCCTCCCTTGAGTGGATGACCCATCTAAGCATCACTAGCCAAATCAGCATGTTCTTTCACTCTCTCCCCACTCAGCCCTTTTTCATATCTTTTGAGATAACCCTTTCACTTCCAGTTTTTGCTTCTGTTCTTTCTATCTATCTGGATTTTGTGTAGTTTACAGTGAAAGTAGCTAAGTTCTGTACTGAATTGAAGGCTTTGTGATTCAGGGAGGGTGTTAGTCGTCAAGTTCTTTGGCTAGATGGGCTAGTGTTCTTTGTCTTGTGATTGCGTGTTTTCTACTTGTACCATAGCTTTAGCTTGAAGTAGTGTTACATTTATATTGTCTTGAATTTTTTTTTTTTTTTTTCTCTTTTACTTGTTTAACTTGTTAGTGACCTTGACCTTTGTACATGTAATAGGGGTACTTAACCCAATTAGTAATGTAAACAGGAGTCTGAGGTTGTAAGTTATTGACTAATCATCCTATAAATGTAGCTATGAGGATGGTTCCATGCTTTGGTGGGATGTACGGAATCCTAGCGTTCCAGTAACTTCTGTAAAATTTCATTCTGAGCCAGGTGTGGACATTAGCTTCCTAAGATTTCTTTTTATCTTTTAATACAACTTAGTTAACAATTGACTAATTTTTTAGTTCTGAGCATCTGCATCGACGGGTTTTGCAAAGGGGGTATCTCAGGAGCTGCAGATGACAAAATTGTAATGTACAGCTTGGATCATTCTTCGGTAACATCCTTTTTTAGTTATATTTTCTTCTACTGAAACTTTTTGCTCCTAAAAGTAGTTCTTCAATTGGTATGCTGATTTTTATTTTTATTTTAATAAACAGGGATTAAGATATCTTCAGTTAGTAAACCACCAACTTAGTATTAACACGTCTTCAATGATATATAAATATGGGTTTGCTGTTACACTCCATTGTTATGACTAACAGAGTAGCCATATAGCAGGTGTAGGAATAGGAAATGACAGTTTGCTTTATTGTATTTCATGATTATTTATGATGCGTTTTCAGTCTGCAGCTTAATGTTTTCTATGCTCTTTTTCAGCTTCTTTATATTTTTTCTTATGTATTTCATGTTGACTGTAGGGTACATGTGTAGTGAAGAAAGAAATCAATTTGGAGCGACCAGGCATATCAGGCACCTCAATTCGACCTGATGGAAAAATTGCTGCAACTGCTGGCTGGGATCACAGGTTTTTAAATGCATCAATATTTAACCCTACACCCTTGCATAGAAATACCTCCCAGGGTAGTTTACTGTTTGACTTTCTTGATTTTATCAAAACTTACCCCTAATATTTAGAAAAGAGAAAAAAATCATTTTATTTTTTCAATGACTCATTGCTCATAATTGGTAATAAGACGTTATTCATATGACTGGCACATGTGTGCTATGAGTTGGAGAACTTCCTTTATAAACTAGAAAATTTGTTGTACATCGCACAACCATTTTTAATTGAGTTAGGATCCGTTCACACCAGACATAAAACCTACTCAAATTACACTTTCAATAACTCTATAAAATACTAATTTAATCAATCCTGTTGAATTTAATATTTTTATAATTTAGATCATGCTTACAAAATTTCATATAATTTCAAATTATTTAAAAGATTATCACATCACTTAAATTTAACGGATAGTAAGATATTTAAAAATATGTAAATTTTTATTATTAGTTTATATATCTATAAAAATTTAAAGTATGTAAATTTGATAGATATGATTATGAAGATAATATGACAAACTTCAATGGTTGGATTAATTAAATTTGTACTTTATAAAAAGTTATTGAAAGTGTAATTTGATGAAGTTTTATACTTGGTGTAGACTATCCTTACTCAAATTGATATAGGTAAAACTTTAAAATAAAATAATATGTAATCGATGAAAATTGCCGCAGTTAAATAGTGACAAATATCACTTAATCTATGACAATTAAACTAATAAAGGTCATTACCTCATTTCGTATACATTTTTTTTTAAATTACTAACGGCTTCTTCTTTTCCTATGAAAGCTCCACTACTTACAAGACTGCTTTAAAAATATATATTTGTTAACTTTTCTTTAAAAATAAAATTTCAATACTCCAACTGTTACCCATAAACAAATCACTCCCCCATTTACATATACCTATTCATTTCAACGCTACTCACAAACAAATCACTCTTAAATTTTTAGCTCAATAAAATAGGATAACATTATCAAATGCAGATATACAATAGTGTTAATAAAGAAATTAATAAGGTAAGTCTTTTCATTGTTAATAATAAAGATGTTATTTTATTATATTAAAAAATAGCTATAAGACTTTTTAAGTTATATTAATAGACATGTCGTGTTTATTTTCTAATTCAATAGTGTGTAGAAATTTTAATTCAAACTCAAATTAGGAGTCAATTTATGTATAATATTTAAGAGGAAATGTAAAGAACATAACGTAAGTAGATGCTTGACAAAGTAGTCTTGTGGCACACATTAAGAGAATGAATTAGGAGCGTTTTTACTCCAAGAATGAAGATTCAAAATTAATTTATGTAAGGATTGATTATGATTTCAGCTTTGAAGTGAACCAGACCTGATTCCTAAACTGGATTGACTGTAATTCAACTCCATTTAATAGAAGGGTCCTGGTAACAAGTTTTAAGTATAAATCACAATGAGAAGTGCATTTTTTTTTTATATACGCCAAGTTTAAACATGAGACCTTGTTTAAATGCAACAACTTTGTTATGTCCATTGGTGGTACAAGTGCTGCTGTTTGATATTTGTTTATATTTTTGGTAGGGTGAGGATATACAATTTCCGCAAAGGAAATGCCTTAGCTATTTTGAAGTATCACCATGGCACAGTAAGTCACTGTTTTCTATATCTGGGGTAATCTCAAGTATCATAATTGACATCAAAAAGCGACATTTTCATTGTGTGATTCATAATTTGATTGGCTTGTTTTTTTGTCTGACATTGCAGTGCAATGCTGTAACTTTTTCGTCTGATTGTAAACTTATGGCCTCTGCATCGGAGGACTCAACCGTGGGGCTATGGGAATTGTATCCTCCTCGAATATGATGGTGAATTTACTCTATATGTTGGTTGTTATAGATTATAACTTTATAATTTTTTTCAATGAAATTACGTTAATGTGGATCACTACTTTATATATATTTTTTATATTATTATATACAATTCTGTAAATTTAGTTACAAGATTGAAAAAATTGTATTAGTTTTATTTTGCTAAATTTTATTCTTTTTTTTATTTCCTATATATTGACTCTTGTAACTTCAAGTGTTTGTTAGAAATTTAGGGGTATTTTCAAATCTTTATAATTATATAGTCTTTTTAAATCTCATACATTTTTATGATACAATTTCATTAAAATTCAAGTTACAGCTTATTGTAAAAGATTTTATAGAAAAACCTTTTAAATCATTATGCCAAACCTTTTAATCAATTAAAAAGTTTCAAAATTAACTCAATTTCCATGAAAAGGGATTTCTCGCTCTTATAGCAAAGTGAAGAACAGAGAAGAACGGGAGAACCCTAGAAAACTACGTTAAACCCATGAAAAGAAGGAGGAACGAGAAGTATAAGGGAAAAAATAAATAATTCAAAACATGTTATAATTTCTTATCTTTTGTGTATTCAAAATTTGTTAGATATTGTTAAACATAATTGTTTTTAAGAAGAATGAAATCTGAAATATTTTTTTTGGAAAAAATTTCAGTTAAATATTTCTACATAAGTTTTCTAAAGTCTGGTACTAGTAAATCTTAGCTTTTTTTAAGAGTAAATCTTCTCATAAGCTTACATGAGCGTGGAAAATAAAGACAAAAATATAAATAAATTTATGATAAGATTATAAGATGATTGAATATGTCAACATCTCTTTAAGTTTATATGAACATATTTATTTTATTGGTGTTGATTTATGAAATTGTTTCTGGTGAAAATTTGATCGATTTTGATTTTATAGGCTCTAATCAAATTTCAATAACGTAGATTCTTTTTGTTTAGGCTAGCGACAATTTTCAATCAAAACGTGTATGAGAATCGAAAATGTCACAAGATTGAGAAATGTTATCGATGCAACTGATCATACAAATTGAAAATCGAAAGTACTTTTTTTGGTATTTTATTAAGAAACGTGAAGTAAAGAAAACAGTAGAAGGTATCGAAAAGAAAAAAAACAGTGCGAAATATTAGAATACAGGGAATTGTAAATACGAAAAACTCGAAATTGCATTAACTGTAGATGACAAAATTAAAATTGCATGAAAGTAAATGACAGGACGTCGAAATTTCAGAAACGGTAAATGACAAGCATTTGAAAATACAAAATCTTAAATTGTATTAAAGATAACTGGCAAGTAATTGAAAGTATAGAAACTTAAATTGATGAATGTAAATTGCTTGAAAATAAGTTACCAGGGAAAGTAAAGAAAGCGATAAAAACAGTCAATGAGAATGGAAATCCAGATCGCCAAAAACTTCATGATTCGTCGTTCTCTGGTAGACTTTTCACTTGTATTTCTGTTGTCTCTGCCAATTTTCTCTCCTTCTTCAAGCTTCGTTCTATTTATAGGCATCCTTCAATGTAACCTCCTAAGAGCAGTTAAAAAACCGTCCCTTTTCCGACGTCCGGAGGACGTCTCGAAACGTTTATGCGAGCGGTCGCGAAAAGATGGTTTAGACTCGCGTATTTGTTTTAAAAGGTTTTCGAAAAGAGGTTCTTATGGAGTCGCCACCAATGTTTTAACCTTAAACATTGGAAAAGGAAAAAATGTTGATTTTAAGAAAAACCGCACTCGACCATTATAACCAGAGTTGGGTAAGAGAGTTAGTTACGTGTGGGGAAGGTGTTAGCACCCCACAACGCCCCTTTCGGGTTCCCTATGACAGATTAATTCATTTAAATAAAGACTACAAGAAATTACGCGATTACCCTATTTTATTACATAATATTAAATGGCTATCTATATGATTTTATTCTATGTTATATGCATAAAATGATGAATAAAGCTAAATAAAGCAATAAAAGAGATATTAAAATAGCTATCTACATGATTTTACTCTACATGACATAAATAGTAAATAAAGCTAAATAAAACAATAAATAAAGCAATAAAAGAGAAGAGAATTGAAAAGAACCTCCGTAGCAAGCTTTGTATTGAGAATCTTCAACTATGAGGATGCATTTTGGCAACCCCTCTCTCTACATGACTCTCCTCACCAATACAAGATCGACCCCACTAAAAATTTAAAGAAGAATCGAATGCCTGAATATAATTCCTTAACCGATTGTTACCTATTTAAGGCAATCGGAAAGATCATTCAAGAGAAAGAAAGAAATAGACAAGTGCTCCGAGTTTTAGAAAGTGTTTCGAGCTCTCCGGAGTGTTTGTGGTGTGAAAAAGTGGCAAATGAGCCTCCTATTTATAGTTTTTCGCAGCTGGCGCACTTTGGGACGGCCGTCCGGATGGGACGGCCGTCCGGACTGGGACGGCCGTCCCAAATGGCAAAATTACACAGTCGGGTCCCCCGGGAACCCGGGACGGCCGTCCCACATAACTGGGGCTCGGGACGGCCGTCCCAACTTCGGGACGCGCGTCCCAACTCGGCTGAGGCAGGTTGGGACGGCCGTCTCAACCTGTTCCGGCCGGTTCGCGCGTTTCGGGACTCCGGAAGCTCTCCTTGCCTGTTTTGGACGTCAATTGATGCCGATATGTGTCTATTGAAGCTTTATCTTCATATGGGAAGTCTCCTTGGCTCTTATTTGTAATGCTAGACGAGCTTTATCTTGTTACTGGTGATCTCCTTTATCTTTATTTGAGAGGCCGGGCAAAATTAGGGGTCTACACTGCCCCCCTTCACCTGCCTAGCTAATTGGTCGACTTGGATATGTCGACAAAATTAGTTGGTAGGGGAAGGAGTTAACCCTTTTGCCCGGTTATCCTTCGGATGTCTGCTCCTTGTTGATCCTCCGGATGATAAATATTTTGATAGGTACCAACCCCTATCCGGTTTGAGCTTTCTTTTTAAGGTTTTGGTGGGTACCTACCCCCACCTGGTATGAATCTGCATTTTTAAGGTTTTGGTGGGTACTTACCCCCACCTGGTACGAATCCGCATTTTGCCGGATTCTAGTGGTTTTTACACCCCACCGGGTGCGAACCCGTATATTGACTAGGTCCTAATGGATTTTACACCCCACTGGGTGTGAACCTGCATATTGACTAGGTTCTAGTGGATTTTACACCCCACCGGGTGCGAACCTACATATTGACTAGGTTCTAGTGGATTTTACACCCCACCGGGTGCGAACCCGCATATTGACTAGGCTCTAGTGGTTTTTACACCCCACCTGGGTGTGAACCTGCATATTGACTAGGTCCTAATGGATTTTACACCCCACCTGGGTGTGAACCCGCATATTGACTAGGTTCTAGTGGATTTTACACCCCCACCGGGTGCGAACCTACATATTGACTAGGTTCTAGTGGATTTTACACCCCCACTCGGGTGCGAACCCGCATATTGACTAGGCTCTAGTGGTTTTTACACCCCACTGGGTGTGAACCCGCATATTGACTAGGTCCTAATGGATTTTACACCCCCACTGGGTGTGAACTCGCATATTGACTAGGTTCTAGTGGATTTTACACCCCATCGGGTGCGAACCTACATATTGACTAGGTTCTAGTGGATTTTACACCCCCATTGGGTGCGAACCTGCATATTGACTAGGCTCTAGTGGTTTTTACACCCCACTGGGTGCGAACCCGCATATTGACTAGGCTCTATTGGATTTTACACCCCCACTGGGTGTGAACCTGCATATTGACTAGGCTCTAGTGGTTTTTACACCCCCACTGGGTGTGAACCTGCATATTGACTAGGCTCTATTGTGCGAGTCTGCATCTTGCCGGACTCTAATGGTTTTTACACCCCCACTGGGTGTGAACCTGCATCTTGACAAGGCTCTATTGTGCGAGTCCGCATCTTGACGGACTCTAATGGTTTTTACACCCCCACTGGGTGTGAACTCGCATCTTGACAAGGTTCTATTGTGCGAGTCTGCATCTTGACGGACTCTAATGGTTTTTACACCCCCACTGGGTGTGAACCCGCATCTTGACAAGGCTCTATTGTGCGAGTCCGCATCTTGCTGGGACTCTAATGGTTTTTACACCCCCATCGGGTGTGAGTCCGTATTTCGACGGACTCGATGAGTACCTACCCCCATCCGGTACGAATCCGCATTTTGACAAATTCTTGGAATGCTCTTTTTGGAATATCTTTTTGATTGATGAGTACGAACCCTCATCCGGTTTCGGCGACTTATTGTCTTTGATCATGCGCCTATGGGGAGTAATTTTTCTTTTTGATTTTTTTGTTTTAGTCATCCGGCTTTCACTGGGATTCTTGATTTTTGGCTTTTCTTGTTTTAGCCATCCGAGCTTTGCTTGGGATTATGTCGATTGCCTCTTTTTAGGCGGGAATCCTTTTGGGGATTTTGAATTCTCTTATTGATTGTGCCTCTTGATTAGGCGAAGATTCACTTGAGGATTTTGTTGTGCCTCTTGATTAGGCGGGAATCCACTGGGGATTTATTGATTCTTGATTGTGCCTCTTGATTAGGCGAGAGCCCACTTGGGGATGTGATTTCTATTTGGTTAGTGCCTCTTGATTAGGTCGATGTTCTATTTGAGGATATTTGTTCTTGATAATACCTCCGAGTAGGTAGATGTTTCTTGAAAGCTTTGCTTGTATTACCTCTTTTAGGTCGATTTCCGTTTCTTGGGGATATCGGCTCTTTGCTTGTTTCCGAGTAAGCATAGGCATTCTTGGGAGTGAAGGTTTTGTACTTCACTGGGGATATTCATATTGGGTGCTTAACTCCCTGTGGATTTGTAATTTGTAATTTGCCTTTGCGGTTAGGCTTACTGGGGAGAAAATTTTCTTTTTGATGATCCACCGGGGGTGATTTGCCTTCCTGTGGATGGAATTTTCTCATTTTCTTCTTTTATAGATTTTTCTTGATGTGCTCTTCTTGGGGATTTTCTTTC